CGATCAATACGGTCACAGGGAATCCAATGGGATTTGGGGTCGGATTCAGATCAATGACTGATACAGATCCGATTGTGGAGCTTTACTGTCACCTCAAGAGGAACCTCGAAAGGCTCGAGAGGGGGTTCGGGGGTTCGGGGGTTTGGGTTTCCTGCCGTCCGTGTCGGTGTATTACAGTCCATCCTGTGAAGCGCTGTGAGACGTCCCGAAGACGTGAACAGCGCTGTATCAAATGCAAGGATTATTATTATTATTATTATTATTGTGTGTGTGTGTGTGTGTGTGTGTGTGTGTGTGTGTGGGGGGGGCGGTGGGGGCGGTGCGGGGGGTAGAGACCAGACCGGGCAGTGTTACCTGTGGCTAAGGACCACACCAGGAGGGGGTGGGGGGGGGTGAGAGAGAGAGAGGTAACGAGAGGGGGAGAGAAAAGGTAGTTAGTCTTAAAAGGAAAGTGTGATTCCCCCCCTTCCCCCCCACTCCCCCGCCCCCCCGCACCCCCCCCGCACCCCCCCCCACCCCCCCCCATAAACACGGAGGACACGGCTTTACTGTGTGGCCTTTGCTCCCGAAATGCACTTTGTCTCTGGTGGATAATAATATAATCATTAATCACAATCCTCCTCCTTCGATGCGGACGGCGCTGTCGGGTGTAGTGACTGTGTATTATTTTTCGTTCTCCGAACAAAAAGAAAGCTGCCAATTCCTGTTGCCTTCCGGTGCCAACGCTCGATTGGGCATCGCCCGACAGAACGTTCCCAGGGCAGAGGGGTTGGGTTCAGGAGGGGGTTGGACCCGAGCTGGGGGTTGGGTTCAGGAGGGGGTGGAGGGTGGTGGGGGGGGTGTAGGAGGTTGACCAAACGCCGGGTTGGGGTGGGCGGTGGGGGGGAAACTACTGCTGTGTGAGGATAATCTTTCGTATCACCCTCTGGAACTCCATCCCGCAAGTCCCCTCCCCCCCCCCCTCGCCCCCTCCCTCGCCTCCTCCGAGACCCCTCTCAAGACCCTCCTCTTCGACCGACCGCGCTCTCCCCCACCCTCTCCCTCCCTCTCTCGCTCTCTCGCTGGGGGGACGCACCCTGCTTACCGAATTCCGGAGAGTATTAGGCGCAGGTTGGCTGGCGAGAGCCAAAGCTTGGGGTGATGGGGGGAGTCCAGAGTGTGTGTTGGGGGCCGCGGGGTGGCCGGGGGGGGGGGGGGGGGGTAACTGCTGGAGTCTAACCAGCCGAAACCGCTAGGCGACGATGATGATAATAATAATAATCCTCGCGTTCGACACGGCGTTGAGACGTCTCGAAGGCGCTTCACGGGACACGCCGTAAAGTGTAGTGACTGTGTGTTTTGTGGGCGAGCGAGGGAGCGAGTGGCTGTTAACTGTGCTGTTGTTTGCGTCTCGGGAGAGAGCGCACACACACACACACACACACGGGCGCACGCGCACGAACGAGAGCTATCGCAGGGCCTTCTATCTCCTGAAGGAAAAGCAATGTGTGGTAACTGTGTGTGTGTGTGTGTGTGTGTGTGTGTGTGTGTGTGTTTTCTGGGTGTGTTTCCCACCCACACACATGAGTCATTCCCTTGTGTAAACCTCAGGCAAATCCTGTGTCGGGAAAAGTCTGGATCTTTCTAATCCGTACCCGCAAACCACTCGCAGATTTACGGACAGAACCAACGAGGGCTCTGCCCCCCACCACCACCCCCCACCCCCCACCCCCCACCCCCCCCAGAAACTCTTGTTATTATATAATAACGATGATCATATATAATAATGATGATAAGAATCATCGTAACAATCCCCGGCTTTTGACCCGGCGCCTGATCGCGCCTTCGAGACGGCTCAAAGCCCTTCACGGGATACGCTGTCAAGTGTAGTGACTGTGTGTTTCGCGGGCCCTGGCTGGCAAATGTGTGCCAGAATTCTGTTGTGTAAAATGCGGGCGTCAGGACAAATAAAATCCGGATCAGCCGGGACCGGGCGTTTGTAAAAGGAGAACGTAGTGGAACGTTGGAGGGACTGACATTGATCAACTGAGATCAGTTGATCAGGTGTATGTCAAAAGAACGGCTGGTAAGGGGTTTTTTGGGGGGTGGGGGGCGCGGTGCGGGCGGAGGAGATCACGCCAATCTAACGGGGCATTTAACAACGTGTAGCTCAGGGGTTCGAGCCCGCGCCCCGCGAGCGAGAGGACCCGGGGTTCGATTCCCGGGCGGGTCAGGTCGGGGTAAAACGTTGGACAAGTTTCCTTACTCCCCCCACACCCCCCCCACTCCCCACACACACACCTCTGGTTACCGGCAGTCAGTAAGAACCCGGTTGTTAGTCGATTGGGGGATCGCTTTTCCGGGGGTAACAGTCCCTTCAAAATAAAAAAAAATACGCTCACTCAACCCCACGGCCGTTGCTGCCGCCGTTCGCCCACAGAAACGCGCGGTCACCGCACTTGACAGTGTGCCCCGCGAAGCGCTCGTGAGACGTCTCGAAGGCGCGTGAGAAGGCGCTGGATCGCATGCAAAGGATTATTGCCTCCGGTGGGACCTGCGGGTGGCGGGGGGGGGTGGGGGGGAAACGAGGGAGGAATCCAGGCTCGGTAATTAGATCCAGGTCATGCTCTTGTTTTCCGTTGGTCTGACTTAAGGCAGTTGTTAAGTCACGTGCAAAGCGGAGGACTGATTAAACTGGAAGGACGGGATAAGCCTGAGCTCCGCAGGGAAACAGGAACTGCTGGAAAAATATCACACCACAGATTGCTGCTGTCGAAATAAATCTCTTGCGCTGGCGTGGAGTGGCCGACACCACCGGGGAGGCAGAGCTTTATTGGTGGGTGTTATTGAGTGGCGGGAGGCCATCTCGGGGTACCCGTGTGGCGAGAGGGGGATTGAACACCCGCCCGTTAAGTACCTTATCTGGGTCACCGCGAGCACGGGCGGACGTGGCTGAGGAATCGACGGTGCTGGAGCTCGGGGGGGGGGGGGGGTGAGAGCCCTCGCCTCGCCTCGCCAGCGAGAGGGGACCCGGGTACCATTCCCGGGCGGGTCAGGTCAGGGCGAAAGGTTGGGCAAGTTTCCTTACTCCGCCCGCGAGCTTCGAGGTGTTACGAAGGCAATGTCAGAGGGCAAATCAGCCTCTCGGACCCCCCCAAGTCTCAAGACCTTCACCTCGACCTCCCTCCCTCCCTCCCTCCCTCCCGCCCCCCCTCCCCTCCCTGAGGTCTTATCGCCGCGAGGGGAGGGAATGGGACAAGTTTCATTCGTGGCGGTTGTTGAATATCTCTCGTCTCCTCGTTCCTCTTGGGGTCGGCGCAGTGCGGTGAGACTGCAGACTGCGCTGTTATCACTTCCTCTGATCAAATGTCTTATCAAACGTCTTATGATCTGCTGAGGGAGAGATTGAGTCATCACAACGTCCGTTGGCCTTGTGGTACAACTCTCTCTCTCTCTCTCTGTCTCACACACAACATCGTAAGGTCCTGGATTCAACACCTGTAAACCTGACACATCCCCCATTGGACTTAAAACCTCGAGGACTTCGGCCCGTCACAAAACACACAGTCACTACGCTTGGCGGCGTGTCCTGCGAAGCGCTCTGAGGCGTCCCGAGGACGTGACCGGGCGCTGTGCCGAGCGCCGGGGCTACTGCCGAAGGGGGAAACAAAAGGGGGAAACCGTATCTGTTCCCTGCGCTCTCCAAAGCGCTTCACGGGACGCAACTGCGCAGCGTAGTGACTGTGTGTTTTCGCGGGCGAAAGGCGGCAGCCAATCGCGCACAGCAGCGTCCGTCGCAAACCGCCGCGGGTTGAAGCGACCGAATTACTCTGTTATTATTTCTTGTCCCCAAAAGGGTCGTCTTAAACCGGAGTCCACTTCCCCTCCGCTCAGCTTCAACACATACTGAACCATTTCCTTCTTTCCCGTCACATTTAACCCGTTTGACCGTCTTGAACCGAACACATACACATACACAGTCACACCCCCACACCCCCCCCCACACAGTCACACACAGTCACCCCCCCCCCCACACACACACACAACACACAGTCACCCCCCCCACACACACACACAGTCACACACACACACACAGTCACCCCCCCCCCACACACACACGCACACACACAGTCACCCCCCCCCACACACACATACACCCACAGTCACCCCCCCCCCACACACCCCACCCACACACAGTCACCCCCCACACACACACACACACAGTCACCCCCCCCACACACGCACACACACACACACACAGTCACCCCCCCACACACACACACACACACAGTCACCCCCCCCCCCACACACACACACACACACACACAGTCACCCCCCCCACACACACACAACAGTCACCCCCCCACACACGCACACACACACACAGTCACCCCACACACACACACACATACAGTCACCCCCACACACACGGTCACCCCCCCCCCACACACACATACACACATGGTCACCCCCCCCACACACACACATACAGTCACCCCCACACACACGGTCACCTCCCCCCCCCACACACACACACACACACACACAGTCACCCCCACACACACAGTCACGTACACACAGTCACACACACCCACCCACACCCCCCACACCCACAGTCACCCCCCCCCCACACACACATACACACCCACCCCCCCCCCCCCCACACCCACACCCACACTAATAAGATTCCCGATGTCTAACACAAGAGAATTTCTCGATAAGAGGCGGAAAATCAACTCAGTCGCTGGAGGTGAGCGCTGAGTGCGGAGTTGTCGACGTGATTTGGTTTGTTTTCTCTCTCTGCGTCGAGGCTCCTCCTGTACTCCGGGCAAACTGCTGGGATTGAACGGCTTGACATCACGTAAAATAACCGAGACCCAAGTGCTCAAGAGTAACTGTGTTCCTCTCGGCGGGCGAGAGAGGACCCGGGTTCGACTCCCGGGCGGGTCGGGGTGGGTCGGGTCGGGGTGGGTCGGGTCGGGGTGGGTCGGGTCGGGGTGGGTCGGGTCGGGGTGGGTCGGGTCGGGGTGGGTCGGGGTGGGTCGGGTCGGGGTGGGTCGGGTCGGGGCGAAACTTTGGGCGAAATGTCAGCAGTTCGGGACGTTCTCCCGACGTGAAAGGCGCTATACAACTGTAATCTTGTTGTTGTTGTCGTTGGACAAGTTTCCTTACTCCCCCCTCCACACACACGCACGCACACGCACACACGCGCACAAACACACACGCACGCGCACGCACGCGCACACACACGCCTCTGGTTACCGGCAGTCAGTAGGAACCCGGTTGTTGGTCGATTGGGGGAATCGCTTTCCAGTGGGTAACGATCCCTTCAAAATAACTCGGTCGCTCCAACCCGCGGCCGTTTGTGGGGGACGTCGCTGTGCGCAATTGGCTGCCGCGTGTCGCCCACAGAGTACACAGTCACTACACTCGACAGCGTGTCCTGTGAAGCGCTTTGAGACGTCTCGAAGATGCGATGAGGGGCCGTGTCAGATGCCGGGATTATTATTATTATTATCATTGAAGGCGCTTAAAATGCCACCGCTGACACCGTACCCGTTTGAACGACGACGGCGACGACAACAACAACAACAACAGCGCCTTTCACGAGGGTTGAGGCAAAAGCCTCAAACTTTTATTTTATATATAAGCCTTAAACTCACACAGTGCACTTTCCAGGAATACTTCTGCAGGAATTTTACATTTCCCTCTGCTTCGTTGCCTGGTTGTGTGTAGATATATATATATATATATATATTTATTATATATGTTTTTGTGTGTTTTTTGCCCAGATTTCCATCGTCCAACACCTCATCATCAGGTGTCCAAACTCTCCGCCTACGAAGTGACGATCCCACGGCGGTTATCGCTGAGAGAGAGACGACAAACCACTTCTGCACAGGTATAAGTAGCCTTTTAACCTCACATGCGTGTGTGGCGTGTATGTGGGGTGTATACGTGCGCGCATGTGTGCGTGCGTGCGTGTGTGTGGTGTGCGTGTGTTGTGTGTGCGCATGTGTGTGTGGGTGCGTGTGGTGTGTGTGCGCATGTGTGTGCGCATGTACGTGCGTGTGGTGTGCGTGTGTTGTGTGTGTGTGGTGTGTGCAAGAAAATATCTCTCAATTTCTAACCACATTTCATTATTTGGAAAGTTACTTCCTAATAATTTGTTGCTCCCCCTCTCCCCCTCCCCACCCCCTCCCCTCCCCCTCCCTCTGCATCCCCTCCCCACCCCCTCCCCACCCCCTCCCCTCCACCTCCCCACCCCCTCCCCCTCCCCCTCCCTCCCCACCCCTCCCCTCCCTCCCCACCCCCTCCCCCTCCCTCCCCACCCCCTCCCCACCCCCTCCCTCCCCACCCCCTCCCCACCCTCCTCTCCCCCCCTCCCCACCCTCCTCTCCCCCTCCCTCCCCACCCTCCCCTCTCTCCCAGCTCCCCTCCCCACCCCCTCCCTCCCAGCACCCCCTCACCCCCCCCCTCTCCCCCTCTCTCCCCAATAGTTTAATGGGAGTAAAGTTCTTTTCTTTTTTCCGAGCATTATGGATGGGTGGTGATGGGGGGGGGGGGGGTGTGGGTTGGGGAGCAAACAAACAGTTGGCGTTCCTGCTCCCGGTGTGGGGTCGGTTGTTGTCTGACGTGGGTGAGATGCGAAGAGGGTGGCACGGAATTCAGCGACTTGGGATGTTCTCCTTAATGTGGGGCCATTTCCCCAACAAACACAGGCCAGAGCTGACAGAATGGGGGGGCGGTGGGGGGGGGCAGTGTGGGGGGGCAGTGTGGGGGGTGGGGTTCGGTGGGGGGCCGGTGTGGGGGGGCGGTGTGGGGGTGTGGGGGGGCGGTGTGGGGGTGTGGGGGGGCGGTGTGGGGGGGCGGTGTGGGAGTGTGGGGGGGCGGTGTGGGGGGTGGGGGGGGCGGTGTGGGGGTGTGGGGGGGCGGTGTGGGGGTTGTGGGGGGCCGGTGTGGGGGGGTGTGGGGGGGTGCGGGGGGCGGTGTGGTGTGGGGCGGTGGGGGGGGCAGTGTGGGGGGGTGTGGGGGTGGGGGGGGTGCGGTGGATGTGCAGGTGTCCACGGTTCTCACGGTTTTCCTGTTGCTGGATGTTGTCACACACTCTGTGTGTGTGTGTGTGAGTGTGTGCGTGTGTACGTGAGTGCGTGTGTGCGCGTGCAGAAGTGTGTGAGTGTGTGCGTGCAGGAGTGTGTGTGAGTGCGGGAGCGGGAGTGCGTGAGTCTGTGTGTGTGCGTGTGTGCGGGAGCGGGAGTGCGTGTGTGCGCGTGCAGGAGTGCCCGCGTGAGTGTGTGTGCATGCGCAGGGAGTGTGAGCGTGCGTGTGTGAGTGTGCGCGTGCGGGAGTGTGTGTGCATGCGTGTGGGTGCCGGAGTGTGTGCGTGAGTGCCCGAGTGTGAGTGTAGGGGTGTGTGTGAGTGTGTGAGTGGGGTGGGGTCCCCTGGCTGCCCCCCCCCACGCCCCCAATTGTGTTGGGGGGTGCGGGGGGGGGGTGTGTGTGTGTGTTTTTAATCACAAATTGACGCCCGTTAATCCCCCCCCACCCCCCACCCCCCACAGGATAAATTATCATACGCCATCGAGGTGGAGGGGCGAGAACACATTGTGCACCTGAAGAGGAACCAGTGAGTATCTTACCCCCCCCACCCCCCAACCCCCAATCCCCCCCTACCACCACCTACCCCCCCCCCACCCCACCCCCCACTCCACCCCCCCCCTCATTAGGCTTCTTAACTGTTGTCAGACCCACCCGCTGGCACTGCGCTGTGTCCTGACTCAACGGCAAAGCATTCCGGTCGTCCCGAGATTTCGAAACAACTATATGGGAGAAGAATGTAATTGTTTCCTGTTGATATTCACGCGAGGCCGGGAGACAGGCATTCAGCTCTGCGTTTAGTTAACCCCCCGTTCTCGAAACCTCGGGCAAGTTTCCTTACTCCACACAGAGCCTAATAATAATCCCTCCAAAACCAAAAACAATAATAAATTGGTCATTTTCAATCCACGACTGTTTGTGGGACATTGCTGTGCGCAATTGGCTGCCGCGTTCGCCCACAAATATACAGTCAATTCACTTTACAGTGTGTTCTGTGAAGCGCTTTGGGACGTTCCCCCGACGTGAAAACGGCTATATCAAATGCAAGGATTATTATTATTATTATCTTAGAATTAGAGCCCGGCCCAGTTCGGGGTTAAATCAGGGGCAGTTTTTTACCCAAAGGGTTAGTGGGAATCTGGGACTCTCTCCCCCTCTCTCTCCCCCAAACGGCTGTGGGTTATGGCTGTGGATCCATTCACGTTGTCCAGACTGAGGTGGGCTGATGGTTGTCAGGTCAGGGGGTCAGGGGATACGGGGCAAAGGCGGGGAATTGGGGTTGAGGTACAGATCAGCCCTGATCTAATGGAATGGCGGAACAGGCTCGAGGGGCTGAATGGCCTCCTCCTGTTGCTATGCAACAACAACTTGTGTTTCCACCTCGCTCTTGACGCAGGGACACAGGGTGGGATTTCTGAGACAGAGGGTGGGGGGGGGTAGGAGGGTGATCGGAGGCGCGGTTGGTCGAAGAGGAGGGTCTTGAGACGGGCCTTGAAGGAGGCGAGGGAGAGGGGGCGAGGGAGGGGGCGAGGGAGGGGGCGAGGGAGGGGGCGAGGGAGGGGCGAGGGAGGGGCGAGGCGGAGGGACTGCGGGATGGAGTTCCAGAGGGTGGGGGCAGAGAGGCTGAAGGCCTGACCGGTGATGGTGTGGGGGGGCGGGCGGTGCGGAGTCCACTGAGCGGAGGCTGATACGAGTCAGGGAGTTGCCAGAGACTCAGGGTTCGGTGGCTGAAGCGCGGCCGCCGATGGTGGAGTGGAGGGACGAGCAGCAAACTAACTTTACAAGCTACGTCACAATTTAGTTACCCCCTTCCCCACCACCCCCCCCCCAACCCCCACCCCGACATCGCTGAGCTGCGATCAGGATAAAGCAGAATATTATCACAATATTATTGAAATAGTACTAAACTGTTATTGAGATATTATGCAAATATTATTACAATGTTATTACAATCTTAAAAAAATCACTGTCACAAAATACACAGTCACTACACCTTACGGCGTGTCCTGTGAAGCGCTTTGAGACGTCTCGAAGACGTGATGAGGCGCCGGGTCGAGCGCGAGGATTGTTATTATTTACTATTACAATTATCTTGTGAGACCTTCAGCCTTGATTTCTCTTTGTGTTGCTCTTGGCTGAGAATAATCCATCCCAAAAGGTTTATCAACAGTGAGATAACACACACACAACAACAACAACAAGATTACACGCGTACAGCGCCTCTCACGTCGGGAGGATGTCCCCAGGCGCTGGACGGTGGCAGCACTTCAGACCCGAGCTGTCGTTGGGGGGGAGCGAGGGGAGGGGAAGGGGGGTGACTGATGGTCTGGTCGAAGAGGAGGGTCTTGAGGCAGGACTTGAAGGAGGCTATTGATTGGTGATTGGAGTGACCGGGGGATGGAGTTCCAGAGGTTGGGGGCAGAGTGGCTGAAGGCTCTCCCGCCAACGGTGGGGCGGGTGGGTCGGGGGACGTGGAGCGGCCGGAGCCGACTGAGCGGAGGGAGCGGGCGGGTTGGTAGGGGGTTAGGAGGTGGCAGGGGGGTAGGGTGGGGCGAGGCCATGGAGGGCTTTGTAGGTGAGGACCAGGATTTTGAACTGGATCCTCTGAAGGATAGGGAGCCAATGGAGTCGGGCGAGAGTGGGGGAGATGGGGGGTCACGGAGTTTGGTGCGGGAGAGGACATGGGCGGCAGAGTTCCTGATTATCTACAGCTGTGGAGGGAGGAGTTGGGAAGGCGGACGAGCTCACACCAACACCCACGCACAGCCAGATGGTAACACATCAAGGGGTGGGTAATTTATTCAAGCCCAGAGGGTAGAACCAAACTCTACTCAGCCAACTATCTCCACAAAACCTCCTTTCTTTTCACACCTTTGTCGCTTTTGCTGATAAAAAAGCCGTCGCTCGTCAGCCGGCGGTTTCCGAATCTGACCATAATAATAATAATAATAATAATAATAATAATCCAAATAATACTGTAATCCTTGCGTCTGACGGTCACTTCAGACGCTGTGTGGTGTGAAGGGCGCTGCGTAAACCCGAGCTGTGGTTAGCAGCGTTTCAAAGCGCTCGACGGAACAGACCGAAGCGCTCAGTGGATTGACTGACGTATTTTGTGGGCGAAAGGGGTGCAGTCGAGACGGGCTGCGGTAACGTGGGCCAGACGGTTTGCGTACCCAGCTGTTGCCTTCATTTCATTTCATTTCAGACACCTTTTGGCTGTCTCTGGCAATTTAATCCCAGGCTCGAGTGAGGCAGGGAAGAATTCGGGTTAAAACACGGGCAGTTTAGGCCCACGGCGTGAGCGTGAGTGTGAGTGTTGAGCGTGAGTGTGAGCGTTGAGCGTGAGTGAGCGGGGAGAGCGCTCACGAGATAGATAACCACAATCATAATAATCCTGGCATTTAATACAGCGCCTCGTCACGTCATCGGGAGGTCTCAAAGTGCCTCACAGGACACACTGTAAAGTGTAGTGACTGTGCGTTTTGCCGGCGAAACGCGGTGGCAGCCAATGGCGCGCGCAGCGACGTCCCCCTCAAACAGCCGTCGATTGAAGTTTTTTTTCCGTGAGAGATTATTATCAGGTGTGTGTGTGTGTGTGTGTGTGTGTGTGTGTGTGTAGTGAGGAAACTCGCCCAAGGTTTCGCCCTGAAACTGTATTGAACCCCAGGTCTCTCGCTTGCGAGACAAGGGCTCTACACTGAGCCACAGACCTCCAGACATATAAACAAGAAATGCTCTCTTGAGGTTTGGAGGGAGGACCGAAAATTGGACGGTAAAAGTTCAGTAAATTCCTAGTTCTCTATTTACAAACCCAAAGACACAAAGCATCTGCGACCATCTGGAAACTGCTTTGCTGTTGTCTGGTGTGTTTTGTGTGTCCGCGGTACTGACACAACAGCCATGAATCACGTCGTTCTTTCTTTGGAAACGCACCAGTAATTGTTTCCCCTTCCCCCACCCCTCGCTCCACCTCTCATCCCCCTCTCCCTCCCCCACGTGGGAATTTGACCCAGTGCCGTCCTACGTCTCACAGACTTCTGACACTAACAACCCGGTTGTCAGATTTCTGGGGATAATCCCCCCCCAAAAAATAATAATTTGGTCGCTTCAACCCACGGCTGTTTGTGGGGACGTCGCGGGGGCGCAATCGGCTGCCGCGTTTCGCCCACAGAACGCACAGTCACTACACTTTACAGCCACGGTGTATCCTGCGAAGCGCTTTGAGACGCCTCGAAGACGCGATAAGGCGCTGTGTCAAATGCGAGGGTTATTATTGAGTGCGGTGTTCGGGCTTGGGTAGGATTTGGGCAAGTCTGGTGCCTGCTGGGCACACCCTGCACTGGCGCTGGTTGATTAATCATTACAGAAATAAGCAACTAATGCCGTAAATCATCGAATCGTACAATCTGACAGCACAGAAAGAGGCCATTCAGTGCATCACAGTGCAATCGAACACTGGCTTTGAAACATTCAACCTCATGTTCCGCAGGTTCTTCATCTACAGAAGACACAGTCACTCCACTTTAAAGTGTATCCATATATATATGTGTATATATACTGTATATTCCAGGTGGATGTTAAAGATGGAGTTCCCTGTAGCTCAGGGGTTAGAGCTTTCGCCTCGCAAGCGAGAGAGGACCCGGGTTCGATCCCCGGGCGGGTCAGGTCAGGGCGAAACGTTGGGCAAGTTTCCTTACTCCCCCCCCCCCCCATCCACACACACACACACACACACACACGCCTCTGTTTACCAGAAGTCAGTAGGAACCCGGTTGTTAGTTGATTGGGGAATCGCTTTTCCGGGGGTAATAACCCCTCAACCCGCGACTGTTTGTGGGGACGCACTTGGCTGCTGTGTTTCGCCCACAAAAAAAACAGTCAATCCACTTTACAGTGTAATTGCAGTGCATCCTGTGAAACTCTTTGAGATGTCTCGAAGACGTGAACCGGCGCGGGGTCAAATGCCAGGAGTATTATTAATTATGATTATTATTAAGCCTGTTGTCACTGGCGGAATGAAGCGAGTTGGCTAAGATCTGTGTGATTTCCTCCATCCCAGGGACTTCCTTCCAAAGGGATTCACTGTGTCCACGTACAGTAATGATGGGAATCTGCTGACATCCAGACCAAATATGCAGGTAATGAATCTTCCCAATGGCCTCCCCCTCCCTCCACAGAGATGCAGTTGATCAGGGATTAGTTCGTGTTGGGATATCTATGTGATCACATTTTATTGTACGTTGCTTTAATGACTTTATTGGAGGCAATTGGACATAAAGAATCAGAAGCAAACGGGTTTAAAAGGATTCCGGGAATGTGACTGGGCAGATTGTGGGAAAAAGATGTCAGTGTAAGGTTTAAAGAAAGGAACTGGTGAATCGAAACAGGTTTCTCGATTTGTGAACATAATTATCGGGGGAGGACAAGTTTGCAGGGCTATGGGGGGAGAGCGGGGGAGTGGGGTTGATCAGGGCTATGGGGAGAGAGCGGGGGAGTGGGGTTGATCAGGGCTATGGGGAGAGAGCGGGGGAGTGGGGTTGATCAGGGCTATGGGGAGAGAGGGGGGGGAGTGGGGTTGATCAGGGCTATGGGGAGAGAGGGGGGGAGTGGGGTTGATCAGGGCTATGGGGAGAGAGCGGGGGGAGTGGGGTTGATCAGGGCTATGGGGAGAGAGCGGGGGAGTGGGGTTGATCAGGGCTATGGGGAGAGAGCGGGGGGAGTGGGGTTGATCAGGGCTATGGGGAGAGAGCGGGGAGTGGGGTTGATCAGGGCTATGGGGAGAGAGCGGGGGAGTGGGGTTGATCAGGGCTATGGGGAGAGCGCGGGGGGAGTGGGGTTGATCAGGGCTATGGGGAGAGAGCGGGGGAGTGGGGTTGATCAGGGCTATGGGGAGAGAGCGGGGGAGTGGGGTTGATCAGGGCTATGGGGAGAGCGCGGGGGGAGTGGGGTTGATCAGGGCTATGGGGAGAGAGCGGGGGGAGTGGGGGTGATTTGGAAGCTCTTTTCAAAAAGGACATGATGGGCCGAATGGCCTCCTTTTGCGCTGTATAGTTCTATGATTCTTAAATCGAAAATACTTTCTCGCTTTGACCGAAACACTCATCTGCTCAACTGTTGACCTCTCACGGACCCCATCGCTTCCACAAACCACAAGCATTTTTTCCACCCAGTACGTGGGAACCCCAGCGGCCATTTTAATTTTGCAACCACTTCGGGGCCTCAGTAACCGGCCCACAGGGTCCAGTTTTGAGTTGAAATCCGATCATTCGAACCTGTTGACCGCCTCGTCTGGGCGTAAGGGGGAAATTGTCACTGCGAGACGGAGAATGTGGAGGTGGGGGGGTAGTTGCCGGGGGATAGAAGTCTGAGTCAAGGTTTCGCTGCACAAAGGAAGCCAAGTGCTGTGTAATCGAGGAGAGTTGGTAATTCTACTCCGCGTGTGTCTGTCTCGCTGGTTAATCGCTTTGAGATTTCCTCCCGATGTGAAAGGTGCGATATAAATTGTCCTCCCAGGGGGTGGTGGGGGAGAGATAAGTCGGCTCTTCTTGGAGCCGAATTGGCTCCAAGGTGACCTGCCCGGCAATGGAATGAGTGTGACGGTCTCGAGCCCCCGGTTCCTGAGACGGGAGGGGCCGCGGTGTCCCAGGGCACTCGCTGCTGATGGCAGCACCTGGAAGGGCCGACCAGTCACTGGGGGCCGGGAATCCTCCCCCTCAGCTCCTGGTAACCCCACAGCCAAAGCCCTAACTAACGGGGAGGGGGGTCCGAGCCGGACAAGCAGCGGGAAAGCTCGGCCACACAGCGACATCAATGGCCGGAGCTGTGTGTGGGTTTAGATGGTTAGACTCCAGCAGTTACCCCATCGGACACTCTGGGCTCCCCCTCAAGCCTCGGCCCTCGCCAACCTGCGCCTAATACTCTCCGGAATTAGGTAAGCAGTGGGGGGGGGGTTCCTCCAGGGAGAGAGAGAGAGAGAGCGCATTCCATCCCAACGATCTCTCTCCGGGGGTTTCCAGGTGTGGGGGGGGATGTGGGGAATTCTCAGTTGGGTTTGGAGACTCTTAACCAACGGTGATGGGTTTTCTGCGTGGGTCAGGCCGGGCCGAGAAGAAATCTAAACTGTTATCATATTGTTGCAGAAACACTGTCACTATCTGGGCTACGTTGAGGGGATTGAGAATTCTATCGTTGCTCTGAGCACCTGCTCTGGACTCAGGTAAGGATCGCAGACTAACCCTACAGACCAAGCCCTACTGAGTGACAAAGCTACAGAGAGGGAGTGCAGGCAGATTAATAATAATAATAATAATAATAATAATAATAATAATCCTTGCATTTGATATAACGCCTTATCAGGTTGTTAGGATGGGCTCTGGCCTGTCTCATGTCCCCCGCCTCGCCCGCCACACCATTGACGGTCGGGTCTTTAACCTCTCTGCCCCCCCCCCCCATCATCAGGAACTCCATCCCGCAGTCACTCGGCCTCGCCCCCTCTCTCGCCTCGTTCAAGACCTGTCTCAAGACCCTCCTCTTCGACCAACTGCACGTTAGGTCACTCCCCCACTACTCCCCACCCTCCCTCACCCACCCTCCACCCCCTCCTGATCCCAACCCCCAGCTCGGGTCCAAACCCCTGACGGTCCAGCGCCTCGGGACGTCCTCCTGACGTGAAAGGAAGGCTCTCTGTGTAAACGTCACGTGTGGTTGTTGCGTGAGAGTTGACTCCAGTAACAACAGCGTTGACTACACCGCTTTAAAGAGCGATGACGGGTTTGCTTGATCCGGCGATCGGCGCGGCCTGTGGAGCGATACCTGTGAGGGAGCGAAGGGAAAAGTTGTGAGGTGAAAAATGGGATAAGAACTCGATGACACACCCCATTGTTTCTAATCAGCGGCTCGGAAACCACAAGCTGCAGGTACAGCCCGAGCAATCAAACAGCAAAGCCAAACCCACTGAGCGATGTCAGGCCAACAAACCTGCGAGGGTTTGGGTGAGGTCCAACTCAAAGTCTTAAAGCCAAAAGCCGCCAGGAGTTCCCCGGAGCTCAGGGGTGAGAGCCCTCGCCTCGCGAGCGAGCGAGAGGACCCGGGGTTCGATTCCCGGGGGGGTCAGGTCAGGGCGAAAAGTTGGGCAAGTTTCCTTACTCCCCCCCTCCCCCCTCCACACCCCCACACACACACACACACATGCACACACGCACACACACACACGCGCCTCTGTTTACCCGCAGTCAGGAGGAACCCGGTTGTTAGTCGATTGGCGGATGGCTTTTCCGGGGGTAATAATTCCTTTAAAATAAATAAATGAATAATAAATAGGTCAGTTCAACTCAAGGCTATTTGTGGGGACGCTGCTGTGTGCCATTGGCTGCCGCGTTTCGCCCACAAAATGCACAGTCACTCCACTTCACAGCATATCCCGTGAAGCGCTTTGAGACGTCTCGTAGACGTGATCGGGCGCTGTATCAAACGCCGGGATTATCATATATATATATGTGTATAAAAAATGATAGATTGAAACCTGTTTAGAAACTGACCCTCAAGACCGAAAGTGTGCGTGTGTGTCGCTGAGTTGATCCAACTGTGCAGCGCCTCGGGACGTCCTCCCGACGTGAAAGGCGCTCTATAAATGGAATCTTGTTGTTGTTGTTGTTGTTGTTGAGTGCTGACTGCCTATATTGACCTGGATGGTATTGGGTCGACAGAGGATTTTTACAGACGGGTGAAACGTATTATGGCATTGAACCTCTCGAGAACTCGAAAGGCTTCCAACACCTGATCTATCGGATGGAAGACCTTCAGGAAGAGGCCTCTATGTGTGGAGTATCTGACCTGAGCAGCGCTCAGAGGGACAGCATTTTGGAGCCTACAGAACAACATTCACACGATGGCCAGAGTATGACCGGTTTCCTGCGTGTAAGTTCATTTGCTCGAGGATTCCCGAGTCTGACTGGTCAAATCTTGGCCCAGCCCCACCATCGGCGGTCAGGCCTTTAGCCTCTCTGCCCCCAACCCTCTGGAACTCCATCCCACAGTCCCTCCGCCTCGCCCCCTCCCTCGCCTCCTTCAAGGCCCATCTCAAGACCCTCCTCTTCGACCGACTGCGCATTCGGTCACCCCCACGCTCCCTGATCCCAACCCCATCCCCACACCAGCTCGGGTCCAAATCTCTGACTGTCCAGCACCTTGGGACGTCCTCCCGACATGAAAGGGGCCGTGTAACTGTAATGTGATGGTGTATGGTATTGGGCCGTGTGTTATCTACCCCGCTGTGCTTATCTGAGTAGAAGGACTACTCCATTTTGTCTTCGGACCTGTATCTGAGCCTGTTCTCCTGGTTTCACAGCACAAACGAGCCATATTGCCTCAGACTCACTATGTGGAGCTATTTCTGGTTGTGGAGAAGCAAGTGGTAAGTCGAAACTCTTGAAGGTTTCCTGCAAAACTTATGTGGATCACTCGACATTGCTGTTCTCTCTCTCTCTCTCTCTCTCTCCTCTCTCTCTCTCCTCTCTCTCTCTCCCTCTCTCTCTCTCCGTGATCTCACCTTTTGTTAAATTGCAGTTTGAAATCAAGAGGAACACTACTGCCATCCGGGAAGAAGCTGTCCAGATCGCTAACTATATTGATGGAGTAAGTCCCAATTCTCCACTCTATTCTACTCCCAATTCGGTAGCTCAGGGGTTCGAGCCCTCGCCTCGCGAGCGAGAGGACCCGGGTTCGATTCCCGGGCGGGTCAGGTCGGGGCGAAACGTTGGGCAAGTTTCCTTACTGCCCCCCCACACACCTCTGTTTACCAGCGGTCGGTAGGAACCCGGTTGTTAGTCGATTGGGGGATCGCTTTTCTGGGGGTAATAATCCCTTCAAAAAAAAATTGGTCACTTCAACCCACGGCTGTTTGTGGGGGGGACGCTGCTGTGCGCAATTGGCTGCCGGGTTTCGCCCGCAAAACACACAGTCACTACACTTTACAGTACATTCTGCGAAGCGCTTTGAGACACATCTGCGCTGTGTCAAAGGCGAAAGTTATCATTATAATAATAATAAGTAGGATTTTGAATGATCACGTCTGATTAAAACATTTATTTACCATCTCTTTCCTCCCCCCACCCCCCCCCCCCCCCCACCCCCCACTCAGATCTATATCCCACTCAACATCCGTGTGGTGTTGGTCGGTTTAGAGATCTGGAGCAAACAGAATCTGATCAATACACAAGGAGGGGCTGCAGAGGTCCTGGGCCGTTTCGTCCAGTGGAGGCAAAAAGACTTACTGTTACGTCAGCGCCACGACAGCGCACATTTAATTCTGTGAGTGTTTCAGCGTCAATTTGGTCTCGTTTCTCCGGCCGATCGCTAAAGCCGATCTCCCCCTCGCTCCTGACATCTACGTGGGCAATCTCGGTCGTCAGTCTCGGGGCAGTTTCTCGCCGGGATCTGCCACTGGCAATTCTTTCCAATAGCCGGAAGCGTGTCGTTTCCGAGCCTTGGGAAAGCTCGGAAATGCCGTGTGCGCGGTTCTGGTCACCGCGATATAAAAAGGATATTTTAATATAAAAGTGGAAAAAGTTTCCTTACCCCCCCCCCCCACACACACACACACGCGCCTGTTTACCAGCAGTCAGTAGGAACCCGGTTGTTAGTCGATTGGCCAATGGCTTTTCCGGGGGTAATAATCCCTTCAAAATAAATAATAATAATAATTTGGTTGCTTCAACCCATGGCTGTTTGTGGGGACGCTGCTGTGAGCAATTGGCTGCCGCGTTTTGCCCACAGAATACACAGTCACTACACTTTACGGTGGATCCCGTGAAGCGCTTTGAGACGTCTCGAAGACGTGATGAGGCGCCGGGTCCAACGCAAGGATTAGCATTGCGTTGTTGTAAGGATATTACAGCGGTCGAGAGGATATGGAGGAGGGCAACCGAAATGATCGAGGGGATTGAGGGACTGGGCTACAGGGAGCGATGAGATAAAACTTCAGCCACTTCACGCAGGAGAAGAGAAGCTCGAGGGGTGATGATAGGATGGCGGGCTTTAAGATCCTGAAGGGATTAGACCCCGATAAGCTGCTTTATCTGGTGCCGAACGGTGGAACCAGAGGCCACGGCCCGCGATCGAAGTGGGGGTCAAATTCAGAACCAACCTGCGGAAACGATGTCAGTGAACGAGCGGGAAATGCAAGGAAACAGACTCCTTGTCCCACCGGATCGCCACTCGCGCACTGAAACATTTGATTGCGTAGGTCGGTTCTCAACGTAATCCCCTTGAATCGCCGGCCGTGTATCCTCTTGAGTTTTTCTCTCCTGGACCGGTTGGGAAAGCCTGTCGTGAGCTGCGTTGCTTTGCTCCCGTTCGAAGCTTAAAAGACAGCAATCGTGGACCTCTCCCATCTCCTCGTAAACCTGCCCGATTTATTTCCTCGCTCCTCACAAGTCCTCACACCCCCCACCCGCCCCATTCCCTAAATTACTCCACTCGCTCTCCTCTGTATCCTCTCCCGAGTTCTCCCCCACCCTTCCATTGAAGCGGGAGGCGGTTAGTTTTGCGCTGCCGAGCCGTCAAGCGGCGTAAAGCGAGAGAGAGGGTTAATCTGCAATCTGTTCGGGTCTCCGCTCGATTTTGCCTTTCAGAAAGAAAGGGTTTGGGGGCACAGCGGGCATGGCCTTTGTGGGCACCATTTGTTCAAGGAGCCACAGTGGCGGGATCAACGTGGTAAGGCATCATTTCGCCGCAGTCGTCTTTCCGATCGCAAATCCACTTCCGCTCAGGGGTTCGAGCCCTCGCCTCGCGAGCGAGAGGACCCGGGTTCGATTCCCGGGCGGGTCAGGTCAGGGCGAAATGTTGGGCAAGTTTCCTCACCCCCCCCCCCCCCACCCCCACACACACGCGCGCACCTCTGGTTATCGGCAGTCAGTAGGAACCCGGTTGTCAGTCGATTGGGGGTTCGCTTTTCCGGGGGTAATAATCCCTTCAAAATAAATAATAATAATAATTTGGTCACTTCAACCCGCGGCTGTTTGTGGGGGGGGGGACGCTGCTGTGCGCAATTGGCTTCCGCGATTCGCCCACAAAACACACAGTGTATCCTGTGAAGCGCTTTGAGACGTCTCGAAGCCGTGACGAGGCGCCGGGTCAAACCTCGGGGTTATTGTGATTATTTTGCAGTATTCGTCACGCCCTCTGTATTTCGCCTCGATCGTTGCCCACGAGCTTGGCCACAACCTGGGCATGAACCACGACAATGATCGCGGCTGCATCTGCAGCTCCAAGTCCTGTATCATGAACGCTGGGGCTACGTAAGTCACGGCGATTGTTCTGTGTGTGTGTGTGTGTGTGCGTGTGTGTGCGTGCGCGCGGGCGGGCGGGCGGGCGGGTGGGGGTGTGTGTCAGTGAGGTGTGTGTCTGTATATACCAATAAAGGCGAAATGTCTGTCCGTCGGTCTCTGCGTCTCCTCCAATAACGCAATAACCGATTGACGTAGAGACGCGATTTCATACCCGGTCGGACAGGTCTTGCCATGCGGAGTGTCGTGGGAATATTTTTTTTTTCTTCGGGAATTTCCGATGGTTGATGAGCTATGTTTTTTTGAAATAAATGCTCCAGTTAAGCCCCCAAAATATGAGGTACGCGTGGTATTCTGTGACAAAGTAGCGACAGAGGAAAGCTACGACCTAAACAAGCTCATCGCCCATGTCTGCAATCCCAACAAGGGGACCTCGCAATCAGGAGTTCTCCCACAGGAGTCCTCCCAATCAGGAGTGCTCCCACGTATATAGATGGACAATGCGGACATGTGCCGCAGTGACTATTCGCTCTGTGACTGTCAACGTGAGCCATGGTGCTCAGTCTCAGTCTATCCAGGGCTTTGAGGAGGCTCTCCGTAGCTGCTGCCTGACCTGCTTTGAGACGCGATAAGGCGCTCGATCGAACGCAGAGAGTATTGTCGTGCGCCAATGACTCATCCTGGCCTTCGCGTCGTGTTCCAGAGGCGCCCAGAACTTCAGCAGTTGCAGCGCGGACGACTTCGAAGCCATGATTCTGAAGAAAGGGGCCTCGTGTCTGTGGAACATCCCGAGACCCGATGAGTCCTACAGCCCCCCCTCCTGCGGCAACAGGCTGGTGGATGCCGGAGAGGAGTGTGACTGCGGCTCGCCGAAGGTCAGTCGGTTGTTATCAACGTTCAACGGATTCGGTCGAAAGGTCGGCAAGTCTCTGGCCAAGCGCGAGAGGCCGAACGCTGCCGACGCTGGGATAAAAACGGGAGTTGCCGGGAACACGACACTCAGCGGGTCAGGCAGCGTCTACTGGAAGCGTTAACCGACCCAGTATTCTCTCTCCATCGATGCTGCCTGACCCACTGAGTGAGTGTGAGGGTTCCCAGCGACTTCAGGAGGGTGACTGAAGGCGCGGTCGGTCCAAGAGGAGGGTCTTGAGACGGGCCTCGAAGGAGGCCAGGGAGAGGGGGGGTGGTGGGGGGGGTTAAGAGGCGGAGGGACTGTGGGATGGAGTTCCAAAGCGTGGGTGGGGGGGGGTGGGGGCAGTGGGGCTGAAGGCCCGACCACCAATGGTGAGGTGGGAGAGGTGGGGGGAGCCGTAAAGCAGGCCGGGAGCCCGCTGAGCAGAGGGAGCGGGCGGGTTGATGGGGGGGATCGGCAAGTCATGGGGGTGATGTCCTTCTTGTGTTTGTCAGGAATGTGAGAAAGATCCTTGTTGTGAGGCGTCCACCTGCAAACTCAAGTACGGCGTTCAGTGTGCGTTTGGGAGCTGCTGCAAACACTGCCAGGTAAGCCCAGGTCCACCCTGCAGGGGCCAGCAACAACAACAACAACAACAACAACAACAACAACAAGTTACACTTGCATTGCGCCCTCCCTTTCACGTTGATAAGACGTTCCAGAGCGCTGGACGGTCAGGAGGGTTTGGACCGGAGCTGGGAGTTGGGCTCAGGAGAGTTGGAGGGCATTAGGGGTGGGAGTTGGGTTGGGAGGTTGGCCGAAAGTCCGGTCGAAGAGGAAGGTCTTTAGACGGGACTTGATGGAGGCAAGAGAAGGGGGTGAGGGTGAGGGTGAGGGATTGCGGGGTAGAGTTCCAAAGGGTGGTGGGGAGGGCAGAGAGGTTGAAGGCCCGACTGCCAACGGTGGCCAACAAACACTGTAGTCATCAGTCGCCACTGAGAGAGAGAAGATCCATCCACTAGTTAATTCCATGGCTTGAAACCAATTGAAGGCTTTTGCTGACGCCAAAATCTATTCCAACACATTATTCCGAAAAGTTAAAAGAATTTTCTCTCTCTCTCTCCTCTCTCTCCCTGAAGGGACTCATTCCCTGCTTACCTAATTCCGGAGAGTATTAGGCGCAGGTTGGCGAGAGCCAAGGCTTGGGGTGGGGGGGAGCCCAGAGTGTGTGTGTTAGGGGTAACTCCTGGAGTCTAACCAGCTCAACACGCACAGCTCGGCCATTAATATCACTGTCTGGCCAAGCTTTCCCGCTGCTTGTCCAGCTCGGACCCCCTCCCCGTTAGTTAGTTAGGGCTTTGGCTATGGGGTTCACAGGGGCTGAGGGGGAGGAGTCCCTGCCCCCGGCCAAAAGGTGGTTAAGATGGGATTTAGAAATGATTTGATGAAGAGCATCAAATAATAGGAATAACACTAACAATCCTTGTGTTTGACACAGAGCCTTAACACGTCTTCGAGACGTCTCAAAGCGCTTGGTGGAACATGCGTGGTGTAGTGTAGCGTAGTGACTGCGTATTGTGTGGAGCGGCCAATTGAGTGTGTGTGCGTGTGCGTGGCCTTTTTTTTTTGAGGTGCGCGGTGAGTAAATCTTCCAGCCACCCCCTCCTTCCCTCTCTTACAGTTCATCGCAGCCGGGACGGTGTGTAGAGCGTCCAATAATGAATGCGATTTTGCAGAGCACTGCAGTGGAGAGAGTCACCTCTGTCAGCCCGACGTCTTCGTCCAGGACGGTCACCCCTGTCAGAACAACAACGCTTACTGCTACAACGGAATGTGCCAGAGCTATGACAGCCAGTGTGTGGCTCTCTTTGGCCAGCGTAAGTCCCACCTCGTAACGGGTCAACCCATCACTTCCGATCAACAACAACAACAACAACAACAAGATTCCATTTATAGAGCGCCTTTCACGTCAGGAGGACGTCCCAAGGCGCTGCACAGTTGGGTCATGACCCGAGCAGGGGGGAAATGGTCAGGGTGAGGGGAGGGAAGGGAGGGAGAGAGGAGGGGGGAAATGGTCAGGGTGAGGGGAGGGAAGGGAGGGAGCGAGGAGGAGGAAGAGAGTCGAGAGGGGAGCTGAAGGCTCGGTCAAAGAGAAAGGTTTTGAGACCGGCCTTGAAGGAGGAAAGGGAGGAAGCAAGGCGAAGGCACTGGGGGATGGAGTTCCAGAGCCTCGGGGCTGAGAGGCTGAAGGCCCGACCACCGATAGTAGGGCGGTTGGGGCGGGGGACGTGGAGCAGACCGGAGCCAGAGGAACGGAGGGTACGGGCAGGTAGGTAGGGGGATAGTAGGTTGGAGAGGTAGGAGGGAGCAAGGCCGTGAATGGCCTTGTAGGTGAGGATGAGGATCTTGAAATCAATCCTCTGGGGGATGGGGAGCCAGTGGAGGCGAGCGAGGGTAGGAGTGATGTGGTCCCGAAGCCTGGTGCGGGACAGTACACGAGCTGCAGAGTTCTGAATGACCTGCAGCTTGTGGAGGGAGGTGGCGGGAAGGCCGGCGAGGAGAGAGTTCCCATAGTCCAGCCTTGAGGTGACAAAGGCGTGAACCAGGGTTTCAGCAGCGTGAGGGGTGAGGTAGTGCCGTAATCTGGCGATATTCCGGAGGTGATGGAAGGCGGTGCCAGTTGTGGTGCGGATGTGAGGGAGAAAGGACAGCTCAGGGTCGAACAAAACGCCGAGGTTCCTGACTGGCTTTGAGAGGTGGAGAGTGCAGCCTTGGATGCTGATGGTGTCAGCGCCTGAGGTGCGGAGGCGCTGACGTGAGCCAATCAGGAGGGCCTCGGTTTTTCGCACGTTGAGCTGAAGAAAGTTGTCTCTCGTCCAGGACTCGATGTCGGACAGGCAGGCTGTCAGGACATCGGTGGTCGTGGAGTTGAGAGTAGAGGAGGAAAGGTAGAGTTGGGTGTCATCCGCATACATGTGGAAGTTAACCCCATGTTTGCGGATGATGTCACCGAGGGGGAGCATATAGAGGGTGAAGAGGAGGGGACCGAGGACAGAGCCCTGAGGGACACCACATGAGACAGTACGGGGGGTGGAGGAGAAGCCATTCGTTGAGACGAAGTGAAGACGGTGGGAAAGGTAAGAGCTAAACCATTCAAGGACAGTGCCTTGAAGGTTGAGGTGGGAGGACAAGCGGTGGAGTAGGATAGCGTGGTCGACCGTATCGAATGCTGCCGATAGGTCGAGGAGGACGAGGAGACAGAGGGAGCCCTGGTCACAGATAGTCAGGATATCATTGGTGACCTTGACCAGGGCAGTTTCTGTGCTATGAGCAGCACGGAAACCTGACTGAAGGGGTTCAAAAAGAGAATGGGTGGAGAGGAAAGAGCGCAGTTGGGAGGCGACAACTCTTTCCAAGACCTTGGAGAGAAAGGGGAGGTTGGAGATGGGCCGGTAGCTTGATAGCTGCGACGCATCAAGGGAGGGTTTTTTCAGGGTGGGCGTGATGATGGCAGTTTTTAATGGAATGGGGACAGAGCCAGAGGAGAGGGACAGGTTTATGATGTCAGTGATGTGTGGGGCAAGAAAATGGAGCTGGGAGATAAGGAGTGGAGTGGGGATGGGGTCAAGGGAGCAGGTGGTTGGTTTTAGGGATAGGATGAGTTCAGTGACAGAGGGTGGGGAAACGGGTACGAAGGTGTGTAGGGGAGGATGGGTAGGAGTCGGAGTGTGGGAGGGAAGGGGTGGGTGGTGGGTGGAAGTTGGAGGGGAAGTGACCGCGGAGCGGATTCCCTTGATCTTGGATTCAAGGAAATCCAGCATCTCCTCGCAGTGAAGGTTGGAGGAGATGACCTGCGCGGGGTGGCGGGGGGGACGGAGGAGTCGGGATGTGGTGGAAAACAGTAGCCTGGGGTTGTTCTTCGCCTCCAGGATTATCCTGGAGTAGAAGGACGACTTGGCCGAGGCTAGAGTGGAGCGGTAAATTTTGAGGAGGTCCAGCCAGATTTGTCGGTGGACCGTTAGGCCAGATTTGACACAGGTGCGTTCAGCAGCCCGCACCTGGCATTTCAGTGAGCGGAGGTGGGTGGTGTACCAGGGGGAGGAGCGGGAGTAGGAGACAGTGCGGGAAGTGATGGGGGCAAGAGTATCGAGTGTGGAGGAGAGGATATTGTGGAGGAGGGAGAGAGGAGAAGAGGGGTCGGTGAGGGTTGAAGGCCAGAGGGAGAGGAGTTCAGAGGACTCCAAGGCATCGGTTAGGGATTGTGGGGGTAACTTCTTCCAAGGGCGGTAGAAGATGGTGGTGGGTCTGGTGGAGGTGGGGAGGGGGGTGGAGGTGGTGAAGGAGATGAAGTAGTGGTCAGAGATGGCCTTGTCGGTAATAGTGACATCCGAGACACTGAGGCCCCGGGTGATCACCAAATCGAGTGGGTGGCCGTGACTGTGAGTGGGGGAGTTTATGTGTAGGGAAAGGTTGAGTGAGGAGAGCAGGGAAGAGAAGTCTGTGGAGATGGAGCAGGAGGGGGTGAAGTGTAGGTTAAAGTCGCCCAGGATGATGAGGCGATCAGAGGAGAGGCAAAGAGATGTGAGGAGTGTTGAAATGTCAGAGATGAAGGTGGGAGAGGTTTTAGGGGGCCGGTAGAGGAGGAGGATTTTAAGGGAGAGGAATGAGGGGTGGGAGAGGGTGAGGTGCTCGAAGGAGGGGAAAGAGCCAGAGGAGTAGGGGGATAGGGCAAGTGGTGTCCTTGAGATAAGGGCAACACCACCGCCACGGCGGTTGGGGCGGGGGATGTGGTGGGAGGTGTAGCCGGGTGGCGTGGCCTCCGTGAGGGGGAAGGTGTCGCCTGGGGTGAGCCACGTTTCTGTCAAGGCCATGATATCAACGTTCTCATCAAGGATGAGATCGTTGATGACCAGGGCCTTGTTGCAGAGGGAGCGGACATTTTGCAGTCCGATGTGGAGGGAGCGGTTGACAGAAGGGTGTGTGGGAGGGGAGGGGGGTCCAGGTTGTGAGGCAGGGGTGGGGGGATGGGGATGAGGGAGGAGAGGTTGACTCCCCGGGTCTGTGTCCGGGGTGGCTGGCGAGAGTGGTGGGGAATGGGGCAGTCGGTGTGGCTGCTGCTGGACAGCCAACGCCGAGTGCCGCGGTGAGCCCGGCGGAGGATTCCCAGGCTGGAACAGAGGGAGGGGGTGGGAGGGTCAAGTGGGGATAGAAGACGAGAGGGACGGAGAGAGAGGAGGAGAGAGCGGGAGAGATGGAGAGGGGGGAGGGTTTGGGGGGAGAGAGGAGGGGGGAGGGAGGGAGGGGGTGAGGGGGCTCGGGTCAAAGCGGCAGCCATAGTGCGCACGCGGGGACCGGGAGCGAGCGGTCAGGTGGATGGCATTATCCCGCAGATTGGGGCATCGAACCCAACAGGACCATAGTGGGCTCTGATGTGAGCCCTGGGGGGGGGGGGGGGCGCAGAGGGTTTTTTTTTTTTTTTTTTTTTTTGTGCGCGCGCACTCACCTGAAAACTAATCTATGACGTCGCAGTTCCCCGCTCCGCCCCCCCCCCCCGGGGCTGAACTCGCTCCGGCGTCGAGTTTAAGTACCTGGGTCAGTAGGCCCAGGCTCCTCCCCGCGCTGTCCTGCCGCCGCTCCCCGATCAGCGAAATCCCCTGCGTCGATTTACACCTCGAACTCCACTGCTCTTCAGTTCAACGCTACTGAAGGGGCAGGGAGCGAGAGGTAATATAATACAATACAATATAGTAATAATCCTGGCACTTGCACCCGGCGCCTCATCGCGTCTTCCGAGACGTCTCAAAGCGCTTCGCAGGACGCGCTGTAAAGTGGAGTGACTGTCGATTGCGCACAGCGGCGCCCCCCACAAACGGCCGTGGATTGAGCGACCAAATTATTATTATATTTTGAGTGGATTATTATCCCTGGAAAAGCCATCCCCCTAATTGACTAACAACCGGGTTCCTCCCGACTGCCGGTAAACAGAGGCGTGAGTGTGCGTGTGTGTGTGTGCGTGTGTGCGTGGGGGGGGAATAAGGAAACTTGCCCAACATTTCGCCCTGACCTGAGCCGCCCGGGAATTGAACCCGGGGTCCTCTCGCTCGCGAGGCGAGGGCTCGAACCACGAAGCCACAGGTCTCCACGGAATGATTTCACTGCTCCCAATTGAAAGCCTTGCCAAGTCATCTTATTTTCAACTAATCCCTCGATGCAGTCTCCTTCGTGACTGACTCGTTGACCTCATGGCTGGCAGTCTCCGGCCCCAATTCGTCGCCGTTTTGTCTTGTGGATTCACGCTCACCGCAGGGCAGAGAGGGGGAGAAATCTGCGAGCCATCTGGGTTGCATTCCCAGATCTTTGAGCCGAACGGAAAGCAAGGGTTCGCTTAACGCTCGTCGGTTTGAGCTCTCTGGAGAGGGTCTGATTGCCTTTTTTTTTTGTTGCAGATGCCAAGTCTGCTCCAGAGGTTTGCTTTCAAGACGTGAATTCTAAAGGCGATCGCTTCGGAAACTGTGGAGCCAGCGGAGCCGGCCACAAGAAATGTGATAGCAGGTAGATATTTATTTGGAATAATTTGGAATTATTTGGAGTTCAAGATCCTGGTCCTCACCTTCAAAGCCCTCCCAAGGCCTCACGCCCCTCCCTGCCTCTGTGACCTCCTAACCCCCTACCAACCTGCCCGCTTCCTCCTCTCAGCGGGCTCCGGCCTGCTTTACACTCCCCCACCCCCCCCACCCCCGCCACCCCCCGCCTCGCCGCCCCACCATTAGCCCTTCAACCTCTCTGCCCCCACCCTCTGGAACTCTATCCCACAGTCCCTCCGCCTCGCCCCCTCCCTCGCCTCCTTGAAGACCCGTCTCAAGACCCTCTTCGATCGACCGCACCTTCGGGGGCCACTCTCCTACCCCCCACCCTCCCCGCCCTCCATCCCCTCCTGATCCCGACCCCCAGCTCAGGTCCAAACCCCTGATCGTCCATCGCCTTGGGACGTTCTCCCGACGTGAAAGGCTCCGTGTAAAGGAACTGTTCCTTCTTGTTTCTTTCCGTTGCCTGTGCGTGTGTCCCTTGTTAGTTCAGGCAGGTAATGGAACGTCTAAAACTTGTTGTGCCCCAACGTCAATGGTGGAGGCATTGGTTTGGTTGTGGCAGAGGGTCAGTGTGGCAGGTGACCCAACAGCAACAACAACTTGCATGTCTATAGCACCCTTCATCCAGGGTAGGACCCCGGAGAGCTTGACAGTGGCGGAGTCTGACCCCGGAGAGGCAGGGAGGGGGTAGGTGACCGTAAACGCGATCAAAAAGGAATCCTATAAAGTAGGCCGAAATAGAACTGTAGAAGAAGAACGAGCTGGGCCCGGAGAGATGGGTCTGGTGGTCTGATGTCGTGTTGCTCTAATCCAGGAAAATGGTGGGAGTTAAGCATTTCATACAGCGCCTTATCACGTCTTCGAGACGTCTCAAAGCGCTTCACAGCGTACACTGTAAAGTGACTGTATAAATCATTGGTGAGACCGGACTTAGAGACTGTGCACAGTTCCGGTCGCCGCAGTACAACAAGGATATGGGAGAAATCGAGGAGATACAGAGGAGGGCAACCAAAATGATTGAGGGAACGGAGGGACTGGACTGTGAGGAGCGACTAAGTAAATTGGACACGTTCACGCGGGAGAAGAGAAGATTGAGAGGTGACATGATCGCTGTCTTTAAGGTTCTAAAGGGGCAACTGGTCCAGGATAGTAAAACCAGAGGACACACGGCCTGCGATTAAAAGGGGGTAAATTCAGAACAAATCTACACAAATACTATTTCAGTGAGCGGCGAATAGGGAACCTGTGGAACAAGGTCCCTGGGGAGACGGTTGAAGCAGGAAATGTTGATTACCTTCAAACACAGATGAGATAGTTTTCTTTTAGGAAATAACATGTTGGGATACAGCACATAGGGAGTTCGGGACATGTGTTCATGCAACCGTCAGGGAGGTGGAAGGTGGATTAGATCTTTTTTTGTCGAGTATTTCTTATGTTCTTATGAATTGACTATATTGTGGGCGAACGCGGCAGCCAATTGCACACAGCGACGTCCCCACAAACAGCCGTGGGTTGAAGTGACCAAATTAACCATCCCCGCACCCCCTCCGCCCCCACCATCGGAGGTCGCGCTTTCAGCCACTGCGCCCCGAAACCCTGACACACTCTCTCAACCTCGCCCCCTCCCTCTCCCCCCTTTTTCAAGTCCTGCTCGAAAACCTTCCTCTTTGGCCTCCCTCCCTCCGACCCCCCCATCCTCCCCCCACACCGGCTCGGATTCAGACTCTGCCATCGTTAAGCGCTCTGAGACGCTGCGCTGCGTGGAGCCCGGGAACTGCTATATAAGTGCAACTTGTTGTTGTTGTTCTTGTTACTCAATAACAACTTTCAAAAGGGAATTTGATAGGTGTTTGAAAAGGAAAGGTTTGCAGAGTTTTGGGGTAAGAGTGGGGGAGTGGGGACTAGTTGGGTAAGAGTGGGGGAGTGGGACTAGTTGGGGTAAGAGCGGGGGAGTGGGAGTAGATGGGGTAAGAGTTGGGGGAGTGGGGACTAGTTGGGGAAGAGCGGGGGAGTGGGAGTAGATGGGGTAAGAGTTGGGGGAGTGGGGACTAGTTGGAAGCTCCTTCAAAGAGCCGGCACAGGCAGGATGGGCCGAATGGCCTCCTTCAGTGCCGTAAGGTTCCACGATGCTTTGACTTTACGCTACTGACTGGCTTTTGCCCCCTCGCTGCGGCCCCCCCCCCCGCCCACCCACTCCCCCTGCCCCCCGCGCCCCCCTGCCCGCCCCCCCCCCCCCCCATGGCGAGCCGTGCCCGGCGCCCTGTAAACCCCCTGCGGGTTGGTTCCCGCCGCAGGAACGCCATGTGTGGGAAGCTTCAGTGTGAGAACGTGGACTCGGTGCCCGTGTTCGGGATTCAGCCGTCCATCATCCAGACCCGGATCGGTGGCACCACGTGTTGGGGTGTGGATTTCCGCCTCGGATCGGATGTCCCGGATCCCGGGATGGTGAACCCCGGCACCAGGTGTACCGATGGCAAGGTACGGTCAACCCGTCTGCTCGGTGACTCGTAAATAGGCCTCTCTCTCGCTCTCTCTCTCTCTCTCTCTCACTCGCGCTCGCTCTCTCTGTCGCTCTCTCTCTGTCACTCTCTCGCTCTCTCTCACTCGCTCGCTCTCTCACTCTCTCTCTCTCTCACTCTCTCGCTCTCTCTCTCACTCTCTTGCTCTCTCTCTCTCACTCTCTCGCTCTCTCTCTCACTCTCTCACTCTCTCGCTCTCTCACTCACTCTCTCTCACTCTCTCTCGCTCTCTCACTCTCTCTCGCTCTCTCTCTCACTCTCTCTCTCACTCTCTCTCACTCTCTCACTCTCTCTATCGATCTCTCTCTCTCACTCTCTCACTCTCTCACTCTCTCTCGCTCTCTCGCTCTCTCTCTCACTCTCTCTCATTCTCTCACTCTCTCTCGCTCTCTCTCACTCTCTCTCTCACTCTCTCTCACTCTCTCGCTCTCTCTATCGATCTCTCTCTCTCACTCTCTCACTCTCTCACTCTCTCTCACTCTCTCTCGCTCTCTCTCTCACTCTCTCTCTCGCTCTCTCTCTCTCTCTGTTTGTTTGTATATTGTTGTAGCGGAGCCCAGAACACGTGGATAATTCCGCAATCCTGACAGATGGATATCTTAATAACAATCATCATAATAATAATAACAACCCCAGAGCCTCGTCCCGTCTTCGAGACGTCTCAAAGCGCTTCACGGGATACACCTTAAAGTGTAGTGACTGTGTGTTTCGTGGGCGAAACGCGGCAGCCAATTGCGCACAGCAGCGTCCCCCACACAAACAGCCGCGGCTCGAAGAGACCGCATTATCATTATTATTATTTTTTAACCAAAAAACGATTGATCGTTTTGAAGGGATTATAAAGCTCCCGGAAAAGCAATCCGCCTGACAATCCCGAAAGCGTAATAAGGCGCTGTATCAAATGCAAGGTTTATTGTTATTATTAATTATTATTACTATTATATCTGGAAGTCCCAACGGGGAGACATTCTGATCGTCTCGAGGCGCAGATCCGGTTGGGATTGCGTTGTCGTCCGTTAAGTGGTATTCTGTGGTTTTCTGCCCCGCAGATTTGCATGGACTTCAAGTGCGTCAACGCCTCCATATTAAAGTACGACTGTGACGTGCAGAAGAAGTGCAATGGACAGGGTGTACGTAAGCGAGATTATATTCCTTAAATTATTCATCTTTCCTTTTTGTTTTCCCCGTCTTCCCAACATTCTCCCGTGATATTCGTAACTGGCTTCACGACCGTTCGACAGACAAACTCTCTCCCCTCCCTCCCTCCCTCCCTCCCTCCCGCTTGCCTCTCGCGCCCCACCATCGGTGGCCTCGATTTTAGCCGCTTACGCCCCCCACCCCCACCCCGAGCTCTGTCCCCCTCTCTCCCTCCATCCCTCCGCCTTGCGCGCTCCCCCCACTTCCACTTCCCCATCAGTATTGACTTGTGTTTCCCGTGTACATGTGTCTGTGTGTGTGTGTGTGTGTTTTTAAGGTGTGTAACAGTAACAAGAACTGTCACTGCAACATGGGATGGGCACCTCCGGACTGTGTGGTCAGCGGATACGGAGGGAGTGTGGACAGTGGTCCCACCTACAATGGTGAGTAATGCTGTTTGTCTGATAGATCAGCGCGAAACCTCGGGCAAGTTTCCTTCCTCCACACACACACACACGCACACACACACACGCACACGCACGCACGCGCACACACACACACGCACACACACACGCACACGCGCACACACAGACACACACGCCTCTGTTTACCAGTAGGAACCCTAATAATAATTTGGTCACTCAACCCGCGGCTGTTTGTGGTGGGGACGCTGCTGTGAGCAATTGGCTGCCGCGTTTCGCCCACAAAACACACAGTCACTACACTTTGTGGTTGTATCCTGTGAAGCGCTTTGAGACGTCTCGAAGCCGTGATGAGACGCTGTATCGAACGCGGGGATTATTGCTATAATATGATATTTCAAGGGGCCAATTAATTTCTGGCGGCAATAAACATTTTAATGTAATTCATAGCGTGCGTGTGTTTTTGTGGTCTGTCTGTCTGACTGTCTGACTGCCTGTATGTGTGTGTGTGTGTGTCTGTGGCTGTCTGTCTGTGTGTGTGTGTGTGTGTGTCTGTGTGTGTCTGTCTGTCTGTCTGTGTGTGTCTGTCTGCCTGTGTGTGTGTATATGTGTCTGTGTGTGTGTGTATATGTGTGTCTGTGGCTGTCTGTCTGTCTGTCTGTCTGTCTGTCTGTGTGTGTGTGTCTGTCTGCCTGTGTGTGTGTATATGTGTCTGTGTGTGTGTCTGTGGCTGTCTGTCTGTGTGTGTGTCTGCCTGTGTGTGTATGTGTATGTGTGTGTCTGTGTGTGTGTGTATGTGTGTGTGTGTCTGCCTGTGTGTGTGTGTATGTGTGTGTCTGTCTGTCTGTGTGTGTCTGTCTGCCTGTGTGTGTGTGTGTGTCTGTGTGTGTGTGTATGTCTGTGTGTGTGTGTCTGTCTGCCTGTGTGTGTGTATATGTGTCTGTGTGTGTGTGTGTGTCTGTGTCTGTCTGTCTGTGTGTGTGTGTGTGTGTGTGTCTTTGACCTGAACAGTCCCTGTCGATCATTCCTTCCCAGATAAAGACACATCCCTTCGAGATGGGCTGCTGGTGTTTTTCTTGCTGGTGGTGCCCCTGATGGCTTTGGCGGCCTTCGCGTTCGTCAAAAGGAATCAGCTGCAGAGGAGGTTCTGCCGGAAGAAAAGATCACAAATATACAAGTAACGTCTCCAAACCCGGACGCACTTAAACGTGTCGCGCGGGCTGATCGCGCGTTTGCTCGATCAGTTGTAGAACGCGATCTGCTTCAAACGCAACCAGCGAACGCTCACTCTACACACACACACACACCCCACCACCACCACCGCGGCTTAAGAGGAGGGCATTGCTAGGGTAGAGTTCCGCAGCGCGATGCTGAGCTGGGGGGAGTGGGGTGGGGGTGGGGGGGCGGTGGTGGGGGAGCTGATCGTAGACACGGTCGAATTAGGATGGTCTTCAGCTGAGACCGGACGGAGGGGAAGGCAGGGATCGAGGCGGAGGGATAGAGGGAGAGAGTGACCAGAGTTTTCGGGGGCGCAGAAGCTGAAAGGATGGAGGAACGGAGGGCGCGAGGTGGAGGCGGGCGGTGGAGTTGGAGGGCTGAGCGGGTGGGAGAGGTCGGGAGGTGCCAGGGGCGAGGAGGGGGGATTTGAAGACGATCTTGCAGCCGATCCCGGACACAACCGGGGGAGGCCTTCGGTTTGCCAGCTCCAAAAACAATCCAACGTAGTACTCGAATCCAAGTTGGTTACAGATCGTAACATGATCTTAAGGTTGACTACATTCGTAACCGCTCGAGCATTGCAACTGCGGCCAAGCAATCTGTGTTGGCTGAGGTCCTGAGTATAAACTTAGTCCTGATGTTTCAGCTGCCGATCTTTCTGGTTGGAATAAAGCCACAATATCATTGCAACACGACCTCAAAGCCGGTTACATTTCCCATTGGCTTAGCCACTAAACATATAAGTTGGGTTTCAAAACCCAATGGTCCTTAATCCCCCCCCGGCTCAGTCTGCTTTGCCTCTGGAGCTGTAGCACAAATGGGAGTGAGTTTGAAGGGTCGGGGCTGGTCGCAAACGGACTTTGTCCTTCAATACTCACTGTCTGACCTCTGTTTTCCGGTTGGATTCTGGCAAACTCTCTTCTCCCATCAAGCCACGGTGATGTAAGCCATGAGGCATTTCCCTCGGCCCCCCTCCCCTCCTCCCCACACACCACAATACATGGCACGTAATCCAGTCTGTTCGGGCTGAGAGAGAGAGACTGGGAGAGAATTTTTGATCGATGTGTCAACGTTTAGTTGGTGATAGTTGGAGTTGAGATGCAGATCAGCCATCAAACTGCGTATTTCGCCCACAAAACACACAGTCACTCCACCTTACGGCATAACCCGTGAAGCGCTTTGAGATGTCTCAACGACTTAATAAAGTTCTACATCAAATGCAAGGATGATGATGATGATGATGATGATTATTATATGATTTAATAGAATGGCAGAACAGGCCTGAGGGGCTGAATGGCCTACTCCTGTTCCTTATATAATAATATTAATGATAATAATCCGAGCACTTCAAACCACGACTGTTTGTGGGGACGTCGCTGTGCGCAATTGGCTGCCGCCTTTCGCCCCTCGAAAATATGCCGCCATTTTGGTTTGAAGCGCTTTGAGACGTCTCGAAGAGGGGCTGGGGCGCCTGGTCAAAGGCGAGGATCACAGCATAATGTTGTTATTATTGCCTTCCGCGTTCGAAAATAGGTCGGAACCCAGAACTGGATCAGAAGTTCCCGGAAGAGAGGCCAACAACGCGGTAAAAGAAGGGGTGAGTAAGCAGTCAAGTTGGAAATGGAAAGGGAACCCCAATAGGGCCTATCCAAGAGCTGCTCCTGGTGGGAACTATCGGGGGTTTAAGTGGCTCAATATCACACGCAGTCTGTCTCCGTGAATGATCGCACATACTCCGAGAGAGAGAGAGAGAGAGAGATGGGGGGGGGGTGGGGGCGGTGGGTGGGGAGAGATCATTATCTCTGATGACTTCCTCTCGAGCCCTTTGTTGTCTGTCCGATGTCCTCCTATTTTTACGCATGAACATTCTCTTCACAAATTCCTCTCGGGATGCGGTCGGAACTCGAACCGTGACCTTTTGAGCGGCCGTGAGTCAGGCCGGTATTTGGGTCAAAGTTGTTTTGTGACCTCCCAGGAGGTCCTCACCTTTAAAGCCCTCCAAGGCCTCGCTCCCCCTCCCTACCTCCGTGACCTCGTAAACCACCGCACCCCACCACCACCACCACCACCACCACCAACCTCCGCTCAGCGGTCTCCGGCCTGCTTAATTTCCCCCCCACCCCGCCCGCCCCATCGTTGGCGGTCAGGCCTTCAACCTCTCTGCCCCCAACCCTCTGGAACTCCATCCCACAGTCCCTCCGCCTCCCCCCCCCCCCAGCCCTCGCCTCCTTCAAGACCCGTCTCAAAACCCTCCTCTTCGACCGCGCCTTTGGTCACCCTCCTACCCCCCACCCTCCCCGCCCTCCATCCCCTCCTGATCCCAACCCAGCACCTCTATATAGACTGATATTAACAGTGAGCCCCTCTATATAGTCTGATATTAACAGTGACACCTCTATATAGACTGATATTAACAGTGAGCACCTCTATATAGACTGATATTAACAGTGAGCCCCTCTATATAGTCTGATATTAACAGTGACACCTCTATATAGACTGATATTAACAGTGAGCACCTCTATATAGACTGATATTAACAGTGAGCACCTCTATATAGACTGATATTAACAGTGAGCACCTCTATATAGACTGATATTAACAGTGAGCACCTCTATATAGTCTGATATTAACAGTGACACCTCTATATAGTCTGATATTAACAGTGACACCTCTATATAGACTGATATTAACAGTGACACCTCTATATAGACTGATATTAACAGTGACACCTCTATATAGACTGATATTAACAGTGACACCTCTATATAGACTGATATTAACAGTGACACCTCTATATAGTCTGATATTAACAGTGAGCACCTCTATATAGTCTGATATTAACAGTGAGGACCTCTATATAGTCTGATATTAACAGTGAGCACCTCTATATAGTCTGATATTAACAGTGAGCACCTCTATATAGTCTGATATTAACAGTGAGCACCTCTATATAGTCTGATATTAACAGTGACACCTCTATATAGTCTGATATTAACAGTGACACCTCTATATAGTCTGATATTAACAGTGAGCCCCTCTATATAGGTGTGTTGTAGGACACTTCGCTCTAAATCACTGCCGGTTCATGTCTTGTCTCCCATTTATTAGTGGAGTTCCCTGTAGCTCAGGGGTTAGAGCCCTCGCCTCACAAGCGAGAGAGGACCCGGGTTCGATTCCCGGGCGGGTCAGGTCAGGGCGAAAGGTTGGGCAAGTTTCCTTACCCCCCCCCCCCACCCCCCCCCCACACACACACACGCGCGCACCTCTGTTTACCGGCAGTCAGTAGGAACCCGGTTGTTGGTCAATTGGTGAATTGTGTTTCTGGGGGTAATAATCCCTTCAAAAATAAATAAATAATAATAATTTGGTCACTTCAACCCGCAACGGTTTGTGGGGACGCTGCTGCGCGCAATTGGCTGCCGCTTTTCTATTTGTGTCTGTGTGGGGTGGGGGGTGTTGAGGGAGGAGACAGGGAGTTAATGTAATTTTTGACAGTCAATAACAGCCAATTCTGGCCCGAATTTCCTTTTTAAGTTAACTTTTTTGAATGACTACCTCAGCTGACCTCCAGTCAGTCACCAGTACTTTTTCGGGGAGTGCGTGTGTGGAAAGACCACTTTACACAGATAAATCCTCTCTTTAAGCAAAATTGCTATTACAAATTTTGTGATTTATTTTCCCTAAAAATGTCCAATATCAATATCCTCGACAGCGACATCAATGGCTGAGCTGCGTGTGGGTTTGGCTGGTGGGACTCCAGCAGTTACCCCAACGCACGCTCTGGGCCCCCCCTCCCCAAACCTTGGCTCTCGCCAACCTGCGCCTAATACTCTCCGGAATTCGGTAAGCAGGATACGTCCCACCAGAGAGAGAGAGAGAGAGCGCATTCCATTCCAATCTCTCTCGGGGGTTTCAAGGGGTGTGGGGGGGGGATGTGGAGCAATTCTCAGTCGGGTTTGGAGACTCTTAAGCCACGGTGACGGGTTTCCGTGTGTGTCGGACACCCGTCCTTCGGGGCAAAAAAAAAATTGTCCAACACAAGGAACAGAATAATAATAATAATAATCCTTGCATTTGATATAGCGCTTTTCAAGTCTTTTAGACGTCTCAAAGCCTCTAGAAGTTGGAAAGAAATTAGAATAACCTGATTTAATGTTCAAGATCCTATGTTTCCCCCAACATTTCTCTGCCCTGCCCCTTGGCAATGGGTATCTGCTGGATTCCGTCTGTGCCAATTCTGATCCCTAACCACGAGAGAGTGAATGAGGAATGGTCTGGATATATGGTGAGCGTCTGCTACCTGGTGGTTGAAATCAGAATAGACTGTATTTTCATCCAACTCCAACGCTCTCACACCCTTTTTAATATAGAATTACACGGAATATACAGCACAGAAACAGGTCTATGTTAGCGTTTACACTCCACATAATCACGACCCATATACCCAACCCCATCAGCATAACCTTTCTCCCTCATGTACCTGTCAGGCTTCCCCTCTAAATACATCTACACTATATTATACTGTACTATACTCTGCTCCTCAACTGCTCATTGCGGTTCCACATTCCCACCACTCTCCGGGTAAAGACGTTCCTTCCGACTGCCCTACTTGACTTATTGGTGACTATTTTCTATTGATGGCCCCTGGTTTTGATCTCAGCCCACAAAACACACAGTCACTCCACTTTACCGTGTGTCCCGCGAAGCGCTTTGAGACGCCTCGAAGACGTGATCAGGCGCTGTGCCAAAAACCAGGATTATTATTATTATTATTATTATGAGGGGCATTGTTTTTATTCTCTGCCCTGGAGTGTGGGGCCATCAGAGAAATTGCCACAAAAGATGACCAGACAACGAGTCACGTTGTACGTGGCCCTATGTGGAAACATCTCCTTCCCTTTGGATTGAGTTGTGCTGCTTCAGGTTCCCGCCCGCACTTTCCGCCCCACTATTTTCATTTGGGCCTTCAGCATCTCTGTCCCCCCACCCTCTGGAACTCTACCCCGCAATCCCTCCCCCTCACCCCCCTCTCTTATCTCCTTCAAGTCCCGTCTAAAGACCTTCCTCTCCGGCCAGTGGGGGGAGGGGGGGAACATGGATCAACAACAACAACTTCCATTTAGGCCCCTCTCGCAGGGTAATGTCCCAGAACGTTTGACAGTGATGGAGGGGGTGGGAGGGGAGGTCAAAGATGAAGGTCAGGGTGACCTGAAGTTGGGGAAGGAAGAGGGTGAGGCGGAGGGATTTGGGGGAGAGAGTGACAGAGGTTGGGGGGGGGCGTAGCGGCTGAAAGCGCAGCCACAGATGGTGGAATGGAGGGCGCGAGGGGGGCAAGCCAGAGCCCGCTGAGCGGGGGTCCATATGGTCAAATATGGGGGTGGGGGCCTGGGGGTAACTTTTCCTCATCTAAATTGGCCGAATCATTACAAGAAGTTGAATGACTTGTGGTGGACGCTGCTGTGTGCAATTGGCTGCCGCGTTTCGCCCACAAAACACACAGTCACTACACTTTACAGTATATCCTGTGAACGCTTTGAGACGTCTCGAAGAAGAGTGTCTGTCCAGCGCCTTGGGACGTCCTCCTGACTCGAAAGACGCTGTGTAAATGTAACGTGTTGGCGTGATAAGGCGCAACAACAAATGCAACGATTATTATTATTTATTATAACTTTGAACTGTTGGTTTACCCTGAACTGAACCTGTTTCTTCGGGAAGGTTAGAGCATGAGGTTTGATAATCATTTACTTCTGTTATCTTATACCCTGTGACACAATGTTCATCATATTATGGTATTTTTTTTTGCTGATACAGTATTTGCAAAGACGGGGCTTTTATTTTTTTTTACCAAAATCAATAAAACCCTCAGAACAACTCTGATACGTCGATCGATAATACTCTGAGATTGACTGTCAAACACCGTTTACAATTGCTACTTAATAATAACAGTAATAATAATAATAATAACAGTCCTTGCATTTGATATAGCGCCTTATCACGTCTTCGAGACGTCTCAGAGCGCTTCCCAGGAAAGTGTAGTGACTGTACATTTCGTGGGCTGTAAACGGCGTGTGATTTGCGTTCAGGAGTCCAAACTTTTTAAGTTGACCGAAGTTCGGGGGTGGGGGGGGGGGGGGAGGGGGAAAGGCTCGAACTATTTACCATCGGTGGATTGTTAATCAGTGATGGGATTGGCTTTAATATCTAAGCTCTGTTACATTTGGAATTTGGTTAATTGGAGCGAGTTCCAAAGTTGGTCTGATCTTCGAGATATGTCTCTTGTTGTCGAAAGACTTCGTCAGAAAACAGCCTTTCATTCCACTGCTGAGAACTGTTTTCAACCCATTTGTTCTGAGGACAGAAGCGGTTTAATATGAGGGCAAAGTCCTTGGGGTGGGAGGGAGGTGGTGGGGGGGGTGGGGGTGGGGGGGGCGGTGGGGGGGTGGGGGGTGAGATGTTAAACCGGTTTGCATTTGCCTGTTCAGGCATTTGATGTGGTGTTTCCAACGTTGAGATCCCCACGGCACGAGATGGGAGTCTCTCTCTCTCTCTCCCTCAGTGTCTCGGCCAACAAATAAAATTGGTCCCTCGATCGATGGCTGTTCGTGGGGTGGGGGGGGGGGGGGGGGCGGTGGGGGGGTGGACTCTGCTGTGCGCAACTGGCTGCCACGTTTCGCCCATAAACACATAGTCACTGTGCTTTACGGTGTGTCCCGTGAAGCACTTTGAGACTCGTTGACGACATGATAAGGCGCTACATCGAAAGCAAGGATTATTATTATCATTATTATTATTTTATTATTAAGGTACTGAATATAGGAGGTATGAACAGTGAGTGGGCTGCGGAGAAACACATCGAAGGGGCAATTCGAAAGAGATCTCGGGTGTTTGTTGATTTATTGCCCTCCCAGGCAATTATTGTGGATTATTATCATTATTATTATTATTATTGCAAATGGGATCCAGGGCTGAATTTCAGGGCCAGGGGAGCGGGGGGAGCCGGGGGGAGCCGGGGGGAGCGGGGGGAGCCGGGGGGGGGGGGGGAGCGGGGGGAGGGGGGGGGGGGGAAGGTGACCAAAGGTGCGGTCGAAAAGAAAGGTCTTCAGCCGAGTCCTGAAAATAGGAAGCGAGGGGACGAGGGGAAGGGAGTGGGGAAGGGAGTCCCAGGGCCTCGGGGCACAGGGGCTGAAGGCACGGCCGCCGAGGGTGGAGCGGAGGACTCGGGGGACGAGGAGGAGGAACGAAGGCAACGGGTACTGTGCTGAGGAGAGAGGAGGTCAGAGAGGTCGGGGGGTGCAGAGGAGTGCAGGGACTTGAAGACAAGGCTGAGGACCTTACCCACTGTGTGGGCGAAACGCGGCGGCCAATTGGGCACAGCAGCGTCGCCACAAACAGCCGTGGGTTGAAGTGACCAAAAAGCCATCCACCTAATTGACTAACAACTGGGTTCCTACTGACTGCCGGTAAACAGAGGCGCGTGTGTGTGTGTGTGTGGGTGTGTGCGTGTGTGAGTGTGTGGGGGGGGTGGGGGGGTGGGGGGGGAGTAAGGAAACTCGCCCAATGTTTCGCCCTGACCTGACCCGCCCGGGAATCGAACCCGGGTCACGTTGAGCGGATGTCTCAAAGCGTCTCCCCCTGTTGGTACCTGATCAGGTAGAAAATGTAGTAGTTTACGAACACAGGAAAATATAAAGTATAACAAAAGTTTTTAAAAAAATAAGAAGAATTTGGTCAAACGACTGACTGTTTGTGGGGACATCGCTGTGCGCAATCGTTTTGCCCACAAAATACACAGTCACTCCACTTTCCAGTGTATCCCGTGAAGCGCTTTGAGACGTCTCGAAGATGCAATGAGGCGCCGGATCGAATGTGAGGATTATTATTATTATTACGTGAAGGCAATCCCATTTCGATTGAAGAAAACAACCGAAGCGCGTGGAAAATAGGTCAACCTCTTGCTTCTTAGCCGTGACGTTGGACGATATGCTTAATCCCGTGTCATCTAACGCACAAGTACCTGTTCCTGTCCGCATAGAACCTGTATCCTGCGGACGACAGTGTAAGCTGCCTCGGCAAATGTTTCCCCGGATAGCAATTCAGCTCAAAGTAAACCCTTCAGTAAAATGTGTACGTTGTTCCAATCAGGTTGTTCAAACGACAAGAACTTCTCTCCCAATATATACAACAAAGCCGTCACACCTGACACCATCCAGGTACGTAACAAAGCGATCGATGTTTCGCTATTATTATGGATCGCTCCAGGGTTTTGCGACCTCCTCCGCACGTGAAAGGCGCTATGCAAGTCGAATTTTGCATTGTTTTGCTGTTATGTGAAATCGGCGTTAAATCACTGCATAATAACCGTGAGAAACTGCAGAAGATCCATCAGGTAACCCATTCCTATCACGGGTTTCTCCCCTTTCCTCTCCCGCCTCGTTCCTCCCGAAAAGTAATAATTCCAAAAATAATAATAATTTCCGGGGGTAATAATCCCTTCAAAAATAATAATAAATTGGTCGCTTCAACCCACGGCTGTTTGTGGGGACGCCGCTGTGCGTAATTGGCTGCCGCGTTTCGCCGGCAAAACACGAGGTCTACTCACGTGGATGCCACAAAGATCTCCCGACTCTATCGGAAAAGAGAAGAGAATTTCTCCCGATTAATTCCCTCGAACTTTCGCCTCATTAGCTGCCACGTTTGACTCCAAAAACAAAGCACTAAAACTTGACACAAGTTGCGTGTGAGACACGTGGAGGTGTCTGACCTGATAAGGCAGTTAAAATGCCTTTTTCTGGATACTTATGACTTTAGTGTCTGTTCCTTACCTCCCAATTCAACCACACGCATCCCATCCATGTGACTGGCGGATTGCGATCCGGACGAGCAATAAAGCAATTATTGGGGCATAAGATTTTATGTTTGAAGTGGACTATTAATCATTGCTTCAATCATTTAAAAATCACAACTACTAATAAGAATTTGGTAGCTCAATCCACGACTTGTGAGGATGTCGCTGGGCGCCATTTACTGCCTCGTTTCGACAGTCACTACACTTTACGGTGCATCCCGGAGAAGCGCTTTGAGACGTCTCGACGACGTGATAAGGCGCTGTGTCGAACGTGAGGATTATTATTGTAGCCGTCGTGTTCGAAAGCCGAGTTCTCTCAATAAATCCGGCTGCGAAATGTCGTTGAGAAATTTATTCGAGTGCGGTTTCGATTCAGTTTGTCAGTGAAATATATCTATCGCTTTCCAGGCCACCTCCGCCTCGCCCGGCACCGACAAAACCAGGCCCGAAATCTCAGAAGGCGTAACACGGAGACCCACGCGGAGACTGGACCTGCACAGAACCCTTGAGAGCCGATTGGACTTCAATGAAATGAGCGATTCCAACGTGATTCACTCTGCCATTGGCTTCATTCAGAAATCCCAAGATTGCTTCCTTCCAATCTCGACGGTCAGTCTTTGAAGAAAACCGCGAATGGAACGCCCTCCGACAAGTGCTTTTTAAAACAAAAATTCTCTCTTTACATATTATATATATATATATATAACATAGTATATATATATATAAAAATGATCTGAACCGATTGTAAATGTTGGGCATCTTCGCCAGAGAGACCTCACTCTCTCGACCACCGTCGCCAGAATAATTCTTTGCCATACTTGAGAATGCACAAAAATAGCACAAGAGATAGATAGATAGAAAGAGAGAGAGAGAGCGAGAGAGACTACTAATTTATTTTACCGTCTTTAACGACTGCAATATATTCTAGCGGGGAGGGTCTATTACTATCATGACTGGGCCGTCTGTGCTTAGTGGAAGATTTTATGACGTCACTGAGATTTTCTTCAGTGTCTGATGCACTAGTATATGTATATCTATATCTATATATAGGGTTCGATTCTCTTCACTTTGATTATGCCTCAGCAGTTTGCCTTTTTATACTTAACGCAAATCAATTGGAAAATATCTTCAAGCCGAGGCATGGAAACTCTGAAAATGTGTGCCTACTTTAGTGCGCGTGTGTGTGTGCATGTGTGTGCGTGTGCGTGTGTGTGTGCGTGTGTGTGTGTACCTTTGATGCAACGCATTAATCCTCCTTGCTTCTGGACTCCCATCTCAACTTTGGCTCTGATTGATCCCCTTTGCTTTCTTTCATGTGTCGTCCTGTAGCTCAGGGGTTAGAGCCCTCGCCTCGCAAGCGAGAGGACCCGGGTTCAATTCCCGGGCGGGTCAGGTCAGGATGAAATGTTGGGGAAGTTTCCTTACTCCCCCTCCACCCCACACACACACACACACCCACACACCTCTGTTGACCCAACGGTAAGTAGGAACCCGCTTGTTAGTCGATTAGCCGATCGCTTTTCCGGGGGTAATAATCCCTTCAAAATAAAATAATAATGATAATTTGGTCACTCAACCCACGGCTGTTTGTGGGGACGCTGCTGTGCGCAATTGGCTGCTGTGTTTCGCCCACAAATTATACAGTCACTACACTTTACAGGGTATCCTGTGAAGCGCTTTGAGATGTCCCGAAGACTTGATAAGGCGCCGTGTCAAATGCCAGGATTATTATCATGATTATTATTACTGTTAACACTGCTGCTCGACGTCTGTGGCCCCATTGACTACTTGGGTGTGTGTTTCCTTAACAAAACAATGCTATTTCAACATCTCACCGCGAATCGGAAACCTGAACGTTTGCTCTAACTGTGAGATGGTACAGCGCTGCAATGTGTGTGTGTTTTTCTTTTAAAAGTTGAATTTACCGTCTGGAACGACGCTATGAAACCAGTCGTTCTAAGCAGCGAGAGATCTCTCACACGTTAGGGGAAAGATAATGAATTGGCCGCTGAAGGTTTGCCCACATACCTGTCGCCAGGTTGGTTAATTAAGCTGCTGCATCGAACATACTGTATTTTCATCTGTCTCAGCCCATACTTTGGTTTACCTATAGTACAGGTTTCAAACGTTATTGAAGATAGTCGTAAAATCTTTACTACAAACGAGGTTCGCTGCACATCGTTCAGCGCACACTGAGTAAAAGCTGATGCTTTTGCTCTGGGCCTACAACACTCAAACAGCAGCGGATACAGTTAAACCTCACAAAAGTCACATCAGTTGGGATTCTACACTTAATATGTTTGACGCAAATTATGCGTTTGCAAGTGCAGAGAGAGGACCCGGGTTCGATTCCCGGGCGCGTCAGGTCAGGCCGAGACTTTGGGAGAGTTTCTTGACTCCACACACACACACACACACACACTCTGTTTACAGCAGTCAGTAGAAACCCGGTTGTTAGTCGATTGGAGGGTAGATCGCTTTTCCGGGGGTAATAATCCCTTCAAAATAAATAATAATAATAATAAATGGTCCCTCGATCCACAACTGTTTGTGGGGGACGCTGCTGTGTGCAATTGGCTGCCGCGTTTCGCCCACAGAATACACCGTCGCTACACTTTACAGTCTATCCCGTGAAGCGCTTTGAGACGTCTCGAAGACGTGATGAGGCGCCGGGTCAAATGCCGGGATTATTATTGTGTCAAAGTTGCTCGGAATATGAACTCGTGAGCGGGACTTGTACGACGGGCAGTTGTATGATTTGGGTGATTGTACGATCTGTGCACATCAGACTTGTGTGAGTGTTACCGTATCGAGAAGATAAATGTCAGGCTGCCTTGCTGTTGGGTTACACTACCTGAACAGGTGCTGCGGATCAGTGAGATGGATGGCTGTACTAGAACAAGATTATTTTTTCAGTGTGTGAAACTGAAATTTGCTGTGATTTATTGCATCGTTTCTGATCAAATCGACCCGGCAAGTTAACTGATTATTTGTATAGAATATATATCCTGTAAAGGGAGTATTTTTCTGATTTAGTGTACAACACAAACCAGGTTTACACTTCCTGATGATAGAATTTTATACAGGATTATTATTATAATTCAGGAGGACTATTTTATTTTTTCAGGAAATGCTCTTTTCTCGTCTGACGTTGCACCCCCACTCAGCCTTCTCCAAAGTCTCTCTCCCCGTTCTGTGGCACAGCAAAACTAATTGGGCTCCAATGGAGCCACATAATACTCCGATGAAACTTGTTCTCTCCAGAAATTGGTCAAAATAGCAAGCAATAGGGCCTGAATTGGTTTAGATTCTGTTTCTCAGGAGCTGGATGTTACTCCGGTTTGCTAATAATAATAATAATAATTATGATAATAAACCTTGCATTTGATCTAGTGCCTTATCACGTCTTCGAGACCTCTCAAAGCGTTTCGCAGAATGTGCTGTAAAGTCTATTCGGGCAGCAGATGTCTTTAGGATGTTTATACATGACATAGGAACATAGGTACAGGAGGAGGCCATTTAGCCCTTCGAGCCTGTTCCGCCATTTAATCAGATCATGGCTGATCTGTACCTCAACTAATCCTTTAATTCCAATTTCCCACTTTCTCCCTATATCCCTTAATATGGCATTCATTAAATCTTCCAGTAATTCCCAGTGACCGAGAATCCATATTGACCATCATGTCTCTAATGGTTCATTGCATCGACTGCACAAGATGAATACAAAGTAATGTCAAGCATCGAAATGGCTTTGTGCAACTTATATATTGGCGTTTCGAAGGCAAAGCACAAGGTTGAGGTTTGTGTCAGAAGAAAATAATTCTAATCCTTGCGTTTGACAGAATCTTATCACATAAAGGGGTGAGAAGCCTCAAAGCGCTTCACGGAATCTACTGTAAAGTGAATTGACTGTATTTTGTGGGTGAAATGTTCCCTTTTTTGGGGCATCCGATATATCGACTAAAACTACTTCAACCTTTGCTCTTAGGGCTAATGATGTTGGCTGAAGTCTTTTAATGGCGTTCAGTTATGTGATTCACTCCCGGGTATCTTATTACCTTATACATAACCAAATATTTCTTTTCCTCACTTGAATATTTGCACATTGGGGGGTGGGGGGGGGGGGGAGTGTGGTGAGAATGGGAATATTTTTAATTAAAGGCAAAACACAAATATAGAAGAAGATGTAAAGATATTATGTACCTTTGGCTGCCAGATTGCGTGTGTGTTTCAATGATTTTAAAAGGGCTTCTCTTCAATCTGTACAAAAAAAAAGCAATAATTAAAGATTTCTTTTTCTAACCCGAATGACTTTAAACTCGTATTACAATCTTCGAAAGTGTCTGAAAGTGTCTTAACGTTTGAAAATGAAATACTTTTAAACCCGCTTCTCTTTAATGGAACACAGAGACCAAAACTGGACCCTGTTTGATAGGTCTTTACGCTGTTTTTATACTACTCTAGGTTGAGATTTTTTTTTTGGGGGGGGGTGGGGGGTCACGTGGAAACCCATCATTGTTGCTTAAGAGTCTCCAAACCCGACTGAGAATTCCCCACATCCCACCTATACCTGGAAACCCCCGTGATAGATGGTCGGAATGGAACCCGCTCTCTCTCTCCCCCCCGAAGGCAATATCGATGGCCAAGATATGTGTGATTTTAGGTGGTTAGTCTCCAGCAGTTACCCCCAACGCCCACTCTGGGCTCCCCCCCACCCCAAAGCCTTGGCTCAGGTTGGCAAGAGCCAAGGTTTGGGGATCACAGAGTGTGCGTTGGGGGTAACTCCTGGAGTGTAACCAGCTGGTGAGACAGAAGCCTCTCTCCTTTTTCAAGTGATAAGGTTCTCGGCCGATTCCGGCCTCCTGCTCACCCCTCGTCCTGTCCCACTCCACCATCGGTGACCGAGCCTTCAGCCACCGTTCCGCGAAACTCTGTCACTCTCTCCTTCAACCCCTCTGCGTCACACCCTCTCTGCACCTTCAAATCCCGGCCTAAAGACCTTTTTGGATCGTGCTTACGGATACCTCCGTCACTCTCTTCCCCCGCCCCGGCTCGGAGTCAGACTCCGCCACTGTCGAGCACTCTGGGACCCCACCCCAGGTGACGGGCAAGTTGTTGCTGATAACTTTTGGTGCTCAACAAGGTGTCTGGCACATGCGGAAACCCATCACCACGCTTCAGAGAACATCCAAACCAAGCTGAGGATTCAAGTGGTGACTCGTGTCTCAAGGAAATCCTCAACTATGGCTGTAAAAGATTTGGACTCACATTAAAATGATGGGGGGGGGGGGGAAAATAATAATTGATTGACAATCTCTACCATCCAGTCGATCGCATCGAAAATAGATTCTTATTGGGTGAAAGGAACTTTTTGTGGAAATTATTTCTCGAAAAGCTCCGCCGAGGATAAAAAAAACTTTTAAAGCAATCAATCTGAGCTTTAAATAACATTTTACACGGAGCCATTCACGTCAGGAAGACGTCCCAAGGCCCTGGACAGTCAGGGGTTTGGACCCGAGCTGGGGGTTGGGATCAGGAGGGGATGGAGGGCGCGGAGGGTGGGGCGTAGGAGGGTGACCAAAGGCGCGGTTGGTCGAAGAGGAGGGTCTTGAGATGGGTCTCGAAGGAGGCGAGGGAGGGGGGCGAGGCGGAGGGACTGTGGGATGGAGTTCCAGAGATTGGGTTACAAACATAGGAGAAGGATCTCAGACACCAGGAAAAGAACACAGAGGATCTGTACATTGTGCAATGAACATGTCAGTATTTCTGGGCGGGAGGAAAATGTGCTGTTTTTAGTTTCAAACTAGATTTATTTGGGAAAAAAAATCCAAACGATGGACAATTGTAAAATCCCTCCCCAACTGACCCACCTTTCCTGGTCTCTGGGCTCAGCCCTATGTCTAATAATACTATTATTACCTGATAACAGTAATAGTACTGTGCCTAATACTCTCCAGAATTAGGTAAGCAGGATGTGTCCCTCCAGAGAGAGAGAGAGAGCGCATTCCATTCCACAATCTCGCAATAAGTAGGAACCCGGATGTTAGTCGATTGGCCGATCACTTTTCCAGGGGTAATAATCCCTTAAAAAAATATATCGGTCCATTGAATCCACGGTTGTTTGTGGGGACGCTGCCGGGCGCAATTGGCTGCCGAGTTTCGCCCACAAAAATATACAGTCACTACACTTTACAGTATATTCTGTGAAGCGCTTTTGAGACGTTTAAGGCGCTGTATCAAATGCCAGGATTATTAAATATCCATACTGTACACCTTGGCCTTCTTTCGTCGAGCAAATTCTGATCCTCTTACGCTTTACAGTAAATCCACAGCAATTGTGATCCGAAGCTGTTGAGTAAGTACCATTATTAACCTTGTGTTAGATATTGTTGCAAAATTAACTCATCGCTGCTTATCTTTTGAGCCGTTTGATCATTAACCCAACGAAAAGATTAAATGCCAATTGGTTGCCTCCGATCCTACCCCTGAGAGATAGTGAGATCCACCCATGTCCATCATCCCACTCAAGAATTCAGCCCCGACACACAGGCTTCACCACAATCAATCGATCGATCGATCAATCCCATGCAGGGCCAATGCAAAAGTCTAGCGTTTGATCGATTTATTCCACTGTGGGAAGAGCATAAGAATTAGGAACATAAGAATTAGGAGCAGGAAAGAGGCCATTCGGAGAGACTCCTTTGGACACTGCGGCGTATGAGAGAGAATGCTCGGTTGTGGCATCTGAATTTCTGACTCCAATCAAGCCATGGCCAGACGGGAAAATGGACTTTGCATAGATCTGGAGAAGTTCCACGTTTCTGAAGCTTGTGGGTTTGTCCTGCCAGAGCCACTGGTGGGTATATTTTTATTTGTTTCGTCTTGTAAGAGGTTACTTAGACAGAGCGTATTATCTGTCTATCTGTCTATCTATCTGTCTATCTATCTACCTGCTGTGGTGGCTTTTCAGACTTCATTCAAATTCAACCACCCGCCAACCCACACACACTCGTACACACACACGCGCACGCACTCGCACACCCAAACCACACTCGCGCACTCACTCACACACACAATCACACAAAGAGAATGATTTTCTGGGAGATGATTTGACTACATGTGAGTTGGTGCAAACCCATACATTGTTTTCTTACTGTTTATTTCAGATTGGCTCCCAAATCCTGAACGAGGTTTTGCTATTCACCCAATTCGGTTCAGTCCAACTGAACATTTTCAGTTAGGAATAAAAGATTTAATATTGCCCTAACGTGTCTGCAATTATTATTAGCGAGGAGTCCTGTGGCTCGGGGTTAGAGCTCTCGCCTCGCAAGCGAGAGACCTGGGTTCGATTCCCAGGCGGGTCAGGGCGAAATGTTGGGCAAGTTTCCTTACGCCACACGCACACACGTCTCTGATAATAATCCTTCAAGAAAAAAAATAATAAATTGGTCACTTCAATCCTGTTTGTGGGGGACGCTGCTGTGCGCAATTGGTTGCCGCGTTTCGCCCACAAAACACACAGTCACTACACTTTACAGTATATTCTGTGAAGCGCTTTGAGACGCTTCGAAGACGTGATAAGGCGCTGTGTCAAATGCGAGGATTATTATTAATATTGTTAATAAACTGGTTCAAGTGGATTGGTTGATTTTCCTTAAGAAAAGAAGATGGTTAAACCCCCTCTGATTTCCCGAATACACAATATTTATTTGCATTGTTTGTTTTAAGGCACGAAACGTCGCAAAGGTCATGTGAACTGGAACTCGAGAACGAAATAAAAACAGAAGTCGCTGGGAGTGCGTCTGTTTTTATTTCGGATTTCCAGCGTCTTAGATTTGGAACCCAGGCCCTTTAAGAGTGAAATCAGGAAGCATTTTTTTCACTCAAAGGGCGGTAGAAATCTGGAACTCTCTCCCCAAAAAGCCCCATGGATGCTGGATCCATCCACACATTCAAGTGTGAGGTTCATAGATGTTTTTGGAGGCTTAACAACAACAACAACAACAACAAGATTCCATTTATACAGCGCCTTTCACGTCGGGAGGACGTCCCAAGGCGCTGGACAGTTGGGTCGGGACCCGAGCATTGGGGGGGAAATGGTCAGGGTGAGGGGAGAGCGGGGAACCAAGTTCTTGAGGCAAACTGGGCAGTGGAATCACTTTATGTCCACTCGCTCTCTCTCTCTCTCATTGAGTTTTAATGGGCAGTTTAGCTTATCCTGGAGTCCTGTAGCTTTGTGGTTAGAGCACTCTCCTCGCAAGTGAGAGACCTGCGTTCGATTCCCGGTCAGGGCGATACCTTGGGCAAGTTTCCTTACTACACGCACGCGCCTGATAATAATCCCTCAAGTAAAAAAAAATAATAATTTGGTCACTTCAATCCACGGCTGTTTGTGGGGGACACTGCTGCGCGCAATTGGCTGCCAAGTTTCGCCCACAAATATAGTCAATTCACTTCACGAAGCGCTTTGAGATGCCTCGAAGACGTGGTATCAAATGCAAGGATTATTATTATTATTATTATTATTATTGGAAGAAAACAGAGCGACAAAAAATCATGGAATGACTTATTTATGAGATAGAAGGAAGGGTTCTATTGACTGTATTTCGAAGCTTTGCCGGGTCCTGTTTTACCTCCTCGACACGTAGCCTTTGAGACCTGCAGACAATTATGGACACACGTCTCGATTTTCGGTTTATTCCTGGCCCCCAGATAACCCGTGAGATTTATTGTGGGGTTCAATACCTCGAATAAAATAACCCCTCACGTTTCTTTTCTTATCAGACTGTCCTTCCAGGATTCTACCAACCCTGGATGGAGATGGCAAACAGCCTGACCGGTCTGATTGAACAGCACCAGCTTCGTCGAGAAGTCAACCAGGTAAAATTCCCTTACTTTTACCATATTATGGAAAATTAAACAATTCCTGCCTGTTTCTCTTTGTAGCTAAATAAACTATGTTCCAGGTGTGTTGGTGAGCTACTGGAGGTAGAGGGTTGGGGGGGAATGGGGAGTGGGGGGAGTCGGGCGGTGGGTGGGTGGGGAGGGGTGTGTGGGAGAGAGAGAAAGCAGATACAAGAGAAATTGGTGGCTGAGTAGGTTAGTCCCATTTCCTTTTGCGTTCACGTAAATTAATTTGCAGCCCTGTAGCTCAGGGGTTAGAGCCCTCGCCTCACAAGCAAGAGGACCCGGGAATAATCCCTTCAAAAGAAATAATAATAATTTGGCCGCTCGACCCACGGCCGGTGGTGGGGACGCTGCTGTGCGCAATTGGCTGCGGCAATTTCACCCACAAAATATACAGTCGCTACACTTTATTATATAGCCTGTGAAGCGCTTTGAGCTGTCTCGAATGCCAGGATTATTAGTATTATTATTATTAATTGCAAACGCTCAGTTAATTCATGTTTAATTCTCTCTCTCTCTCTCTCTCTCTGATGAATAGATGCAGCTTCTCAGCACAAATTTCCTCACAGGGCACAAGCAGCTGAGATTGGCACATCTGGCTCTCAGTTTTATCACAATGGGCTACGTCTGGCAGGACGGAGAAACCAACACCACAAAGGTTTGAACGCTCGTCTCATTCTGTTTCGGGCTACACACCAACTTTGCAGCCTTTAATAATAATAATAATGATAATAACAATAACTATAATAATTAATAATAATTAATAATAATCCTGGCATTTGAAACAGTGCCTTCTCACGTCTTCGAGACGTCTCAAAGCGCTTCACAGGATACGCTGTGAAATGTAGTGACTGTGTATTTTGTGGGCGAAACGCGGCAGCCAATTGCGCACAGCGGCGTCCCCCACAAACAGCCGTGGGTTGAAGTGACCGATTTATTAGTATTATCATTATTATTTGATGGGATTATTACGCCCGAAAAAGCGATCCATCAATCAACTAACAGCCGGGTTCCTACTGACTGATGGTAAAGAGATGTGTGTGTGTGTGTGTGTGTGTGTGGTTGGGGGGGGGGGCGGGGTGGGGGAGTAAGGAAACTTGCCCAACATTTCGCCCTGACCTGACCCGCCCGGGAATCGGACCCGGGTCCTCTCTCGCTGGCGAGGAGAGGGCTCTAACCCCTGAGCTCCAGGGAACTCCACTCTCCTCCCATTCCTCGGTGAAATTATCCAAAAAATGTTGATTAGAAACAGTGATTTTTTTTTGCTCGTGTCAGTGACTGATCCTTTTATGTTCTTACATGCTGGACGTCAGGTTCTTCCCAGGAATCTTGCTGTGCCTTTCTGTAAAGTCTCTGAGATCCTCGGGCTCCCACCCATCTTGGTCCATGCGGATTGTGTTTTAGCTAACTGGAAAAAAAAGGATCCCAATGGGTAAGAGAGGAATTATTGTACATGGACAGAGATAGAGACATGGAGGAAGGCAACTAGAGCTCGTGGTGGTGGGCTTTTCGTTGGGAGGGTATCTCACAAAACATCTCACCGATCCCTGTACCCCCATCGCCCCACCCACCGTCGCCAGCCCCGGCTCCACTGACTCCCCGTCCCCCGGAGGATAGAGTTCAAAATCCTCGTCCTCGCCTTCAAGGCCCTCCACGGCCTCGTCCCCTCCCACCTCTCTGACCTGCTGACCCCCCCTATCAACCTGTCCGCTCCCTCCGCTCAGCAGACTCCGGCCTGCTCCAGGTCTCCCGCCCGACCCCCCCCACCATCAGCCTCTCTGCCCCCACCCTCTGGAACTCCATCCCACAACCCCTTGGCCTGACTCCCTCTCTCCCTCTCTCGCCTCCTTCAATCACGACTCAAGACCCTCCTTTTCGACCGCGTCTTCAGCCGCCCTCCTACCCCCTCTACCCACTTTCACCCCAACCCTGCCCACCCCCCCCGCCTCCCCCACCCTCGCGTCCTGACCCCCGAATGTTCAGCTTCTTGGGACATCCTCCCAACATGGAAGGAACTTCACAAATGTCTTGTTGTTGTTGTTGCACTGATTCCCAATCACTGAACGGATCGATTTCAAGCTCCTTGCACCCGTTTTCAAACCACTTCGCGCCCTCGCACTTCCCTCCCTCCCTCTCCGATCTGCTCACCACCAGCCCCCCCCCCACCCACTCCCCCACCCACTGCCCCCCGCTCGGCTGGCTCCGGGCTCCTGTTCACCCCTCGTCCCCTTCGTTCCACCATCAGTGGCTGTGCCTTCAGTCGTTATACCCCGAAACTCCATCACTCTCTCCCTCGATCCCCCCGCCTCGCCCCCTCCCTCCCCACCTTCAAATCCCGGCCTAAAGACCTTCCTTTTTGGATCGTGCTTACGGTCACCTCCCCCCTCCCTCCCTCCCCTCCCCTGACTCGGGGTCAGACTCCTCCACTGTCAAGCGCTCTGGGACCCCACCCCAGGTGACGGGCGCTGTGTTAAATCCACGATGTTGTTTACGATTAAGAATTGTAGATAACACTAACATTTCTTTTTATTCCTTTTGCATATAATTCCCTTTTGGATTACTCTCCAGTTCTATGGAATTTGGGTAAGTGTCTTATAAATGTTATAATACGCGGTAAAGATGTGGGTGATCGGTTTTGGTGAGAGCGCGGTTGCCAACTTTTCCAGAACAGATCCCAACTGCAGGTCAACAATTGAGCAACATGTTGTGGCGTCCCTGTAGCTCAGGCGTTAGAGCCCTCGCCTCGCAAGCGAGAGGATCCGGGTTCGATTCCCCCCACACACACACGCGCCTCTGTTTATCAGCAGTCAATAAGGAACCCGGTTGTTAGTCAATTGGCGGATTGCTTTTTCCGGGGCTAATCGCCCTGGGACGTCCTCCCGAAGTGAAAGGCACTATCCAAATGTAATTTTGTTGTTGTTATTGTTGTTAATAATTCCTTCAGAAAAAATAAAGATTGGCTACACAACCCACGGCTGTTTGTGGGGACGCTGCCTGCGCGCAATTAATTGGCTGCCGCCCACCAACTGTACAGTCAAATCACTTTACGGTGCGTCCTGCGAAGCGCTTTGAGACGTCTCGAAGACGTGATCGGGCGCTGCATCAAATGCAATAACTATTCTTATTTTTGTTTGCGGCTCTAATGTGCATTTGGTGATTTCTTTGCCTCTACCTTGCATGGCCACTAGATGGTAATATATTTCTTCCAGAAATCTGGATACTATTTTCGTTCTTCCCGGAGGAGACAGCTTGAAGGGGTTTTTCCTGGTGACTTTGCTGGTGGAAATGGCAGCAGTTCAAGGCATCAAGGTATCTGTACTAACGTCAAGGAGAACTGCAATCTCAGCAGAATTGGCAGATACATTACAGCCGGAGCTAAATGTCTGATGTGTGTCCTGAATACCATAATTTTGAGTTATGTGAATATGACTAAAAACAACGCTGTGACGTCGCATCATCGTAGAATCATAGAATTACGCAGCACAGAAGGAGACCATTTGGTCCATCCTCAAAACGTCACTTTTTTTAGTTTCACTTATATTTCTTAAGCTTCCACAATGGCCGCGAAAACATTACCTTGTGAGCGCTGACCATTAATGTGGAGTCCTGTAGCTCAGTGGTTAGAGCACTCGCTTTGCAAGTGAGAGACCTGAGTTCAATTCCAGGCAGAGGGCCAAACCTCGGGCAAGTTTCCTTACTCCACACAGAGCCTAATAATATTCCCTCCAAAACCAAAAACAATAATAAATTGGTCATTTTCAATCTACGACTGTTTGTGGGACATTGCTGTGCGCAATTGGCTGCCGCGTTCGCCCACAAATATACAGTCAATTCACTTTACAGTGTGTTCTGTGAAGCGCTTTGGGACGTCCTCCCGACGTGAAAAGCGCTATATCAAATGCGAGGATTATTATTATATTATATTAAACGCCGGAAAATTGAAAATCGGTTTGAATACTGGTCTGGAGAAACATTTTATTTCATGGGGTGATTCCCCATTTCCAATATCATTCTTCCTACCTATTGTTAATGTTGCTGTTGGCAGAAGAATTTGTTGTCCTTGTTTGACATTTCCTCAGCGATGATATAATTAGAAACAGCTGCCCAAAGTGATCTCTCCTCTGGGAGCGGGGGGTCACTTGAATAGACTTGAATGTGATGTAATCGCTTTGACATATCCATTGGAATGAGCCAAGGAGAATATTTGTCTCCTTTTTAGGCTGTTTCCGTTGCAGCTGGAGCTGTGTTGAGGCCCGATGATGACTCCCTCGAAAACGCTTTGCAAGATCTGGCCAAGTCAATTAAGCAGATGAAGGAGGCTCTCAAGAAGATGGATGGTATGTGTTTACCCTGCCCTCTCTTCAAGATGCCTTACCCACTTCACCTTCAATTCACGCTGCAACTTCGGGAGGACGTTCCAAGGTGCTGGACAGTTAAGGATTAGGACCCGAGCTGATGGGGGAGGGGGCGAGGCGAAGGGAATGTGGGATGGAGTTCCAAAGGGTGTGGAGCAGAGAGACTGCCAATGGTGGGGCGGGCAGGGCAGGGCAGGGTCGGGGGGCATGGAGCAGGCCGGAGCCCGCTGAGCGGAGGGAGCGGGCAGGTTGATCCATCGAGCGCTCTAACCACTGAGCTACAGGATCACCATTAGATGCAAGTTGCATGTCGTTTGTTCCTTTGCCTCGTAATCATCGGTCTCCTCTTTCTTCTTGAAATTCTCGGGTGTATTCAACGACATAGCACCGTGTGTCCGTCTCTCTCTCTCTCTCTCTTCTCCTCAGATCATGTGGACCCTGCCACCTTCTATGGAGTAATTCGTCTCTTTCTCTCTGGGTATGTATAGATTGTTGAGGTCCTGGTCGGTTTCTGCTCGAGGATACTGCCTTACACCTAAACAACTGCAGCTAACAAGAACTATTGGAGTGCGAATCAGTTGCAGGCGGGTTGGGAAAAGTACAAATGTTCTACATTTCCAAATCGAAGCAACTAAAGTTCAGGCGTTCGTCATCTGAATAAACAATTTATTATTATTATTATTTTAAAGAATTAGTATCTCTGGGAAAGCGATCTGCCAATCGACTAACAACCAGGTTCCCACTTACCGCTGGGTAAACAGTGACCCGTGGAGTTAAGGAACATTGATCTGCCCTACACTGTTATTGACGGAGAGAGATGAAGCAGTTATCGAAATAAAGTGAACATTAAGATACCTAAGAAAGCTGGCAGGCATTTTCTATAACCTTCTTATAGTGTCTCTGTCATTTCAATTCAATTTATTCAATTAAACTCCTTTGAGATATTGAGGAAAGGCATAATAGCCTTTTGTGGTACAGACAGCCGCGTTACCAGCAACCGCAAGCACCACATTTCATTGAGTAAACTCAACCTAAACTTCTCTTTCCCAATAATAATAAAAAAGATGCGCCACTGCACCATTAAGTAAAATCTTCTGTGATAATAACAATGATCCTCCTCGTCCCCCCGAGTCCTCCGCTCCACCCTCGGAGGCCGTGCCTTCAGCCACTGCGCCCCGAGGCCCTGAAACTCCCTTCCTCACTCCGTTCGTCTCGCCCCTTCCCTTCCCATTTTCAGGTCTCCGCTGAAGACCTTTCTTTTCTACCACGCCTTTGGTCACCTCCCCCTCCCCCCCGGCTCGGCCCCGGGATCTATTACTGTGAAGCGCTCTGTGACGCCTTCCGGCGTGGAGGGCGCTATATCAATCCAAGTTGTTGTTGTTGTAATCCTTGCATTTGATACAGCGTCTCACCACGTCGAGACGTCTCAAAGCCCTTCACAGGATACACTGTAAAGTGTAGTGACTGTGTATTTGGTGGGTGAAACGTGCTGACTTTCACTCTTCCTCAGATGGAAGGACAATCCAGCCATACCTGAGGGTTTGCTGTACGAAGGAGTGGCTGAAGAAACCAGACAGTACTCGGGAGGGAGCGCAGCTCAGAGCTCCACACTTCACTGTTTCGATGAGTTCCTGGGAATACGCCACAACAGGGAAAGTGGTAAGTGAACGAGTCCTCGCGTTAATGTTTACCCAACTGGAAATCTGAATTTACAGTGAACGAACTTTGCTGAAAGTGTGGATTTTGACAACCAGGTAAAACATCGATCTTCTTCACGGGACAGCGCCAATGTGGCAATTCTGTGGAGCATGTCTTCTGCGCAAAATTGTTTCGTGTTTTTCCCCCCACGCTTATGAGCATTTAGTTTCAATATCCTTTCATTCCCTGCAGATGGTACAAAATCAAAAGGGTTACGGTCTTCAAGAGTAGAGATAATAATAATAATAATAATAACCCTTCCATTTGATATAGAGCCTCAGTGAATTGACTGCATACTGTATTTTGTGGGTGAAATGCAGTAGTCAATTGCACACTGCAGTGTCCCAAAAACAATTGTGGATTGAGTGACCAAATTATTATTTTCATTTATTTTATTTTTTTGAAGGGATTATTACCCCCGGAAAAGCCATCCGCCAATCGACTAACAACCGGGTTCCTACTGACTGCCGGTAACCAGAGCCGTGTGTGTGTGTATGTGTGTGTATAAGGAAACTTGCCCAACATTTTGCCCTGACCCATCCGTGAATCAAACCCAGGTCCTCTCGCTTGCGAGGCGAGTGTTCCAGCCACTGAGCTTCAGGACTCCACTACAGATGGTACAACATAGCTAATGGGTTATAATCTTCCTCAAGAGCCCTATTCCCTAATTGTATCCCATGGCTGCCTAAATTAAATCAGTTTTATTTCCATTTCATGTTGGCTTTTACTTGAAATATAACTTTGGCTCCAAGAAATTCAGTCGAAATTGATTTCCCATTTCACCTTGTCACCGCAACGAGGAACCGGATTTTTAGCTTGGTTGGCATTTCTCCAGGATCGTTAAGATTATTATAGTTGGATGTCTTTTGATACAATATTCTTCCGTTGTAAGTTGGCCAAATAAGGAATAAGAGCCAGGATTGTGAATACATAAAAATGATGTGGCTCAGTGGTTAGAGCACTCGCCTCACAAGCGAGAGACGTGGGTTCCCGGCAAGGCGAAATGTTGGGCAAGTTTCCTTACTCCAAATGCCTGTTTACCGGCAATCAGTAGGAACCCGGTTGTTAGTCGATTGTCGGATCGCTTTTCCGGGGGTAATAATCCCTTAAAAATAATAATAATTTGGTCACTCAATCCACGACTGTTTGTGGGGACGCTGCTGTGCGCAATTGGCTGCAGCGTTTCGTCCCTCAAAATGCACAGTCAATTCACTTCACAGTATATTCTGTGAAGGGCTTTGAGACGTCTCGAAGACTTAATAAGGCGCTGTATCAAATGCAAGGATTATTATTATCATTGCTATTAGGATAGGATTTCCTGGTGGTCATATCAAAATGTAATGGTCGTCCCCATCCCCGAACATTTGATTGATCAAGAGAGCGTGGGTTTGAAAGGCGGGTTAATTTGCTGAAACGCAAAGCTACGTTATGTGATGAAAAGGGACAGCAGAGCACCGATACGGTGAGATAGAAGTCTTGTCTGAAGGGATGGATAAATAAATTTAAAAAAAGATACTTTGACCTGTCTTGATTTGGGAAAAGATTACAATCAGTCGCTCCCAAATTGTTAATATTTTTTAAACCTAACCTGCTGTATTTCGGAATTGCAGCTGGGTTCCTTGACCGGATGAGAGATTACATGCCTCCCTCGCATAAGGCATTGATCCAAATTATCGCCTCCGGGCCATCTGTGCGAGAGTACATCGTGTCCAAAGGCAGTCCCGCTCTGCGGGAGACTTACAATAATTGCGTAGCTGCACTCGTCGACCTGAGGAACCATCACATAACAGTAGTCACCAGATACATCAGTATAACCGCGGCCAAGGCGAAGGCTGAGAAGGCGAAGCAAACAGGCTCGGCACATGTACTCCAGAGAGCACCCTCCGCCTTAGAAGAACGTGGAACAGGTGGCTCGGGGATTATGTGTTTTCTAAAGAACGTTCGGGATACCACCAAGAGAGGAATGATAGATATTTGACCTTATTGTTGTAGCGCAGGGGGCAAAATGCACTGTGCCTTCAGTCACCCTCTTACCCCTACCCTCCCCGCTCTCCTGATCGCAACCACCACCTCGGGTGCCGATCCCTGACTGTTCAGCGTCTTGGGACGTCCTCCTGACGTGAAAGAAGCCGCGCAAATGTAATTTGTTGTTGTTGATTACATTGCATAGCGCATCACCCTCCACCCCACTCCCCCACCCCATAATGTATAACATATATATTGGTAACCAACTTCAGATTATTTATTGGTAAAACATCAATAGTGAGGTTGCGATCAGCAAACCTTCAGTACAAATATCAGAATGGGACCAGTGTGTGTGTGTGTGTGTAAAAAAAAGGATTCAACCTGAATAGAAGTTCTGGCAGGATTGAAATCTTTTCTTTTTAATAAAAATTTTAAATAAAGGGATTTCATGATTTTACTCTTCTGACAGTATCCAAACCAGCTGATAGCATTTACTTGTAATTGCTCCAAGGTTATGTTATTCCTTTCATAATATATATACAGTGTGTGTGCAAGAGTTTCATAATTGACTATGAAATGGGAGAGAATTTGCACCCTTTATTCCTTATACAATTGAACTGGTTTTATGTCATATTCTGTGTATAAGTATCTCACTGTGACATTCGCAGTGAAATATGCTTGAGCATATTATTGAGAGTATACATCTACTATGAATGGTCTCTTATGGTCCGATTACAATGTCAAATATATCTATCAATGTTATAGAAATATATATATATATAACTACAGAGAATTACAGCTGGTGGGAGTGCACTTCAAAAGGAAACACGTCTTTGGGTTGAGCTGAAAATCGTTCTACTTTTTACCTTCCATTATGTGAAGTCATCTTTATTCCTCAAAGTATCAGCCTTATGCATTCCTCTCATCTCTTAGCTTTTATGTAAAGTTACAACCTTTATTGACGGCGGCCCAAATTCTTGGCAGAATTTTGTGGGTTTAAATGATAATTTGAACTCATGCAAAGCGAATTGTTTATCCAACTTAATATTTCTTGCTGTCCCCAACCACCGATTCTGCTATAAATAAAATGTCTGTTTAAGAGATTTATCTTTTTTATGCCTAGTAAATTTTTTTTAGAAGGATAAAAATAAAGTGATCATCTGCACTGTTTATTGTGTTGAGTTTTGATATTTTAGGACATTTCTACACCACCCTTAGTTAATCCTAAGCCTCTGACATGGACTATTACAAATGTCCAGCATCTTGGGACGTCCTCCTGATGTGAAAGGAGCTATACAAATGAGATTTTGTGGTTGTTATAAAGTTTAACATTTATATGACCTTAGCTGGATTGATGAGATTCATTAGCTAAGGATCCATTTTACAGGTACTTAAATTTATAGAATCATAGAGCTATACAGCATAGAAGGAGGCCATTTGGCCCATTGTGTCTTTTAAAATAGCTATACAAATCAATCCCACTCCCCCGAGGATGGAATTGTGGAACATCTTCAGGAAAAATGCATCACGTCCCACAAAATATAGTGTGTAAATTCACTTTTCACGTCCTCTAATTGTAGGCACATGAACTATAAAATGCTGTGCTCTTGACAGTACGCTTATTAACCACAACCAAATCGTTTCCCCTTATCTGATCCATTCATGGTTCTTTCCAGCCACAACAAGCCTCGTTCCCCTGTTCCCCAAAAGAACCCAATATATATGACGTGAAAGTTTTTTTTTAATGGAGGCGAACAGTATTATTAATAAACAATCTTGCATTCATAATTGAGAGGAAGAAATCCCATAACGTTTAATGTGTTTTAGCAGGAAAAAATAAGTGAAAATACCTGTGCCCGCTAGACAGTAATAACATTGAACGAATTTCTGCAACTTTTTTTTAAACATCAACAAAAATTGAAAATCCCTCAAAATTCTGTTAACGAGCAAGTATCAATACAAACTCGAATCACAGATCAACATTCCCAACGCCTAATCAATCGGCAATTAGACTCATTTTTGCAGCACGGTGCTGAACGATTTAATACACTGTTACACAAAACGAAAGTGAAGCAATTAAACATTCAGAAATCAACTCACATTGTGCACTGAAGAAACTTAGAAAATACGAGCAATAAGATGCTCGTTTGGATCAACCTGGGAATTGTGAGAGCAGTGATGGCAAAAAAGATCCACTGTGCCTCTCCATACTGCATATTTGTCTGATGCCTACTGCTTCCTCCGATGCATAGCTTGTGACCCTGAATTACAATGGTACCTTAGAGATCGAAAGATTAGATGTGAAATGAACTTCCGGAGTCGCAATTTGAAGCAGTTCCACATCAAAAACTGAAAGGAATTCTGTCTCCCTCCTCACACCCTCCCAGGTCATGCATGCATTGTTTTACTTTGAACTCCAGTTGAGATGTATTAAATGGCATAAAAGTGACTAATCCCTATGCAACCCGGCGGATGATTAATTGCTACGATTGTGATGGTTGCTGGAGACACCCGGCCCCTTTGGAAAAACTGCTGAGGGCAAGAAATAAAATCAGATTCTCATAATTCGTTTGGAATTAGAATTTTAGAAATGAAGTCTATGGGATGGATTGCAGTATAACAGTAACCAGTCACTTACTTACTTCATCAGTCACTTTTAATGCACTCACTTTACACTGTGCAAATGGTTGGAATAGGTGAGCTGCAATTATTTTGTACAGATGTAGTGATTTGTGAGGTTGACGTTTTCTGAAAACAGCAGAGAATGGACAGTGGCGAGTTCTACCTCTTGCCTCATATAACATTAAAATCTGTTTTGAGGTTACTGCCTCATCCCAAGAAATTTGTCCACACAGTGAGTTTCTGATTATAACTGTCCTATCAGGACGAGCGGAGAGGGGGGGGGGGGGGGGGGGGAGTGGGGAGGCGGTTTTACCGTTAATTCCTTCCCCCTCAAAGCAAAGTCTAAAGATCCATCTGATCTCAATCAATTCCTAAACAGCTGCTTTACAAGTCAACAGCACTGGAAGCCAGTCAGGATGAAGGAATGGTTTGATGCAGTGAGGTTAAGAAAGGTTAACAGTAAGCTCCGAGCTCCTTTTAAGGTCCTTAAAATATTTCATTTCCTTTGATTAATGCCAACACAGCTTCGGTCCTACCGAGCATTTATTATGGAACAGGGTATACTTGATCATTTGAATCCATTACACTGCATTTAATAAAATAATAAACCTTGCATTTGATACAGCGCCTTATCACGTCTGTGAGACGTCTCAAAGCACTGCACAGAATATACTGTAAAGTGAATTGACTGTATGTTTTGTGAGCAAAACACGGCAGCCAATTGCGCACAGCAGCGTTCCACAAACAGTTGTGGATTCAGTGACCAATTTATTACTTTTTTGGACAAATTATTACCGCCGGAAAAGTGATCCGCCAATTGACTAATAACTGGGTTCCTACTTACTGCGAGACAAACAGATCTGTGTGGAGTAAGGAAACTTGCCCAACATTTTGCGCTGCTGGGAATCGAACCAGGTCTCTTGCTTGCGAGGCAAGTTCTCAAACCACTCGTCAAATTCTCACTTCTGGTTTGCTTTACTCCTTACAACTTCATTTCTGCAAAACTGCTACATTAATAATAATAATAATCCTTGCATTTGATATAGCGCTTTTCACGTCTTCTCGATGTCTCAAAGCGCTTCACAGACTATGCTGTAAAGTGAAATGACTTTACAAACTTGTTTTCTTTTTTTGTTATGATTCTCAAAATGTTTGATTAAATGCTCCACAAAATCTAGCAAAGCATATATGCTTTTGGTTATACCTTACTCTTACCTCAGCAAAACTGCATCTTTTTAAAAAAAAATCTGCTGCATTGAATATCAATGATGTTCTAAGTAAAAGCAGCAGTATTCTAGATCGAAATTATTGCAATGCAGAGTTCAAATTAAACTGACAATTATTACTCAAATTACCAACCTGACTACCCAAGATATATTAATGTATGTATTGCTGGTAACTATAAGATGAACATAAAGCATTTCTCTCTTTAATTATATCTGTTTTGGGGTATTTAAACTGATAATGAAGAGAAAAATCTGAAAATATGACAAAATCAAAACATAGCAATTAGTTAAGTGATTAACAAAGTTTATCCCCCATTGATTAACATTGGATTGCTTCTCGGATATCAATCCTTTATGATTTTTCTCCAGTGAAGTTACACTTTTTTGATGCTTTGGATCGGTTTTATATGGAACAATAGCCCATATTAGTAAACAAAAGGCAAAATACTGCCAATGCCGGAAATCTGAAATAAAATCAGAAGTCGCTGGGAACATGCAGCAGTTCTGACAAAGTCATCGACCTGAAATGTTAACTCACTTTCCTCTCTCCATAGATATAATCCTTGCATTTGATGCAGCGCCTTATCACGTCTTCGAGACGTCTCAAGTCGCTTCAGAGTACACTGTAAAGTTAATTGACTGTACATTTTGTGGGCGAAATACGGCAGGCAAATGTGCACAACAGTTTCCCACAAACAGTCGTGGATTGATTAGACCAAATTATTATTATAGATTTTTTTGAAAGGATTATTAGAAAAGTGATCCGCCAATCGATTAACAACCGGGTTCCTAACAACCAGAGTTACTGCTAGGTGTGTGGAGTAAGGAAACTTGCCTAAGGTTTTGTCCCACTGGGAATCGAACCCAGCACTCACTTGCGAAGCTTGCGCTATAATATAACAGCAGCGACTTCTGTTTTTAGCTCATTTCAGTGTTGGATTTTATTTTCATTAGTTGGGATCAGTCTTCCTGTGAGGTCCTTGAATGAAATGGCATGTAAAGTCATATTTGTCTGCACATTGATGCCCGCAAATATTGCATTTAAAAGGATGTTCTAAGCTGTGGCAGCCCATGTGGATGGTATACATGGTGGCATCTGCATAGTAAGAGTCACAATACCTGCAATGATGCAATGACTGCAAAGGGGAAGCTGGTACACTGAACGTATTGCCAGGAGAGGTGCCGAGCACATTCCAAGAGCTGGAAGATCCTAATCTGCCATTGCCTTCCACGGTTTCATTTTTGTTGCCTTGCTCCACAGATTTTGGTTCAATCATGGAAGGGACTGAGGTACCTTTACTGTCAACGGAAAAGGTCGATGCTTGGTTACCGGCACCCTGCATGACAGGTGCAAAAGGCCTTTGAGAGTCAGCATCTGGATCTGTCTCACTGCATTCTTTGCCATGCAAACTGTCGACCTGAGTGTGAAGATATTCATCCTTGTGTCTCCACACATTCTGCGTGTCTTTCTGCGCGCAATTGTTAAGGCAGGCGTGGTCACGGAAAGATTGCTTCTCTGCAGGCTTTGTTTTTGAGCTGAGCTGGTCATGGTGCCGGTTTTGTCTGGAGTATCTGTGCCTTGTAAAGGACTTGAAAGACTTGAGATCTGAAAGGGAACTGTAATGCTTCTTGGGGGATTTTATGATGAATATTTTGCTGGTTGTTGTAATGGGTGTTTCTTTGCAGGGGGAGTTATTTTCACCGCTGCTGCAGAATTGATTCTTCAACTGGTGCACATTTGTTTTATCATGTGCTGTCAAATGGTGCTCAAAGTTGTACTTCTCATACGTAGCAAAGGTACAATGCTGGCATCTGTAAACTGTTGGATATGAAAAACAGAAATAATTGAAAAAATATAGATAATAATAATCCTTGCATTTGATGTAGCGTGTTATCACATCTTCGATATGTTTCAGAATATACTGTATATTTTGTGGGCAAAACGCGGCAGCCAATTACGCACAGCAGTGTCCCACAAACAGTCGTGACCAAATTATCTATTTTTTTTTGGGGGGAGTTTATTGCTCCTGAAAGATCGACAAAGGAGTGAAATAAGGAGGCACTTCCTCACCTAAAGTGTAGTGGAAATCTAGATCTCTCTCTCCCCAAAAGGCTGTTGATGCTGGATCCATACACATTTTCAAGACTGAGGTGGATAGATATTTGTTAGGTAATGGTATCACGAGTTATGGGGCAAGGGCAGGTAACTGGAGTTGAGATACAGATCAGCCATGTTCTTATAGAACGGCAGAACCGGCTCGAGGGGCTGAATGACCTGCTCCTGTTTCTATGCAACCAGTTCCTTTGAAGGAATCAAATTTCACCTCCTTTTCATTAATAGGACTAATAATAATAATAATAATAATAATCCTTGCATTTGATATAGCGCTTTTCACGTCGGGAGGACGTCCCAAAGCGCTTCACAGAACACACTGTAAAGTGAATTGACTGTATATTTTGTGGGCGAACGCGGCAGCCAATTGCGCACAGCAATGTCCCACAAACAGTCTAATAAGCCTTTAGTGGCAGAATAGATACTACATTTCTACGAATAAAATTCTTGTGAATCAACATTTTTGAAAATCTTCAATCATCTTTTATGAAGAGTTGCTGCTTTGTTATGCATGCTATTTTTTACCGTGGATGGAAAATATAACCATACTTTTAAAAATAAGACCGCAACAAGTTGTACTGATTTTATGAAATTCCATCAAGTTTTTTTTTGAAAAGTGGCAAGTGAGAAAATAGCTGTTGCTACAAACAAAATTCTGGATCATTCCGCTCACGCTGGATCTTACCTGGGTGGGTGCTCAGGTGCTCTCTCATTGCTTTGAGGTCCTCAGTTAAATGGGGACATAATGTACACTTCAATTTGCCATCAGTAACGATCACAAATGTATTTGGTATTCCAAAGTTGTTCATAGTGGTCAACAAATGTTGATTTTTTGCAACTACAGTAAAGATAAAAGCACAATAACAGGTTTAAAAAGCTACCAATGACAGGAATATAGTGAAGCATCATGGCTATGCTACTTTTGTTTATTTAATGCCATTTCATGTAAATAATCTATAGAGACAGCAGAAGAAATAACTAGTTCTGAAACTTTACGTTGTCACGATATACAGAGTTGAAGCAAAATTTCTAAAGAAATCATGCATCTGTTAGCTTTGCAACTGGCTATTTATTCCTCCCCAACCTCCTCATCCATTTACCTTCAATGATTGCTATGTTCAGAGCTCCTATCCACTTTTGCAACAATCCAAACAATAAGTAATCAGCTAATTTCCGATTAATGTATACAAAAAGGCTTGATTATGCATACTTAGGAGGGGGTGCTGCAGTATTTCTCAGAGATTTTCACTTTGCACTCTGGCAGTATTGAACACCTTCAAGCGTGATACAGTACGAATCTCGGGCTGTGGTCCAGCACATAATCAGAAAAGAATATTTATGAAAATGTGATTTCACATTAGGAAATCTAATCTATGTTCTGGGATAATTGTAACTAATGATGCAGGTATGATGTGCTTCAATTATGCCAACTGCAGTGTTTCCTCAGAGATGTGCAGCTCATCAGTATGAACACTTCAAATAGGATGACTTTACTCATTAGCACTTTAGTTACATATCTCGGGGCATGTCTGTGGCCATTATCCTCATTGATCAGCTTGTCAAATCTTAATGATGCCTTGGATCACTGCAGACTTCCATGGCCTTCACACGAGACAATTACCACCTGAGCCATCAGGTGAGTCAGTCCAGTTCTCTCGACATTTAAAGTTGCAAAGCTAGCAAGAAGTTTAACTCCATTTGAGAAAATAAATGTTCCAAGAGAGGTTTATTGACAGAATTGCAAGCTTAGTAATTCAAGCTTTTTTTCAAAAAAGGGACTTAGTTAATTACTTAACTTTTGCATGGTTCAAAACAGCTAAAGGTCACATTGCAGATACATTACATATTTCTCAACACTATATATTTTTAGAAATAAAACACAAAATACTGCAGAAGCTGGAAATCTGAAACAAATACATGATCGCTGGAAACACTTAACAGGTCAGGCAGCATCTATGGAGAAAGGAAGGTGGATCAACGTTTCGGACGTATGACCCTTCGTCAGAACTGGGGTGTAAGGGTCAGACGAAATTCTGACCAAGAGTCATGGACCCAAAACGTTGACCCACTTTCCTTTCTCCATAGATGCTGCCTGACCTGCTGAGTGTTCCCAGCGATCTCTGTCTTTGTTTGTGTGGGCTATATATTTTGGGGTTCCTTTTACAAAGGGCAGCTGGAGTAGAAAGTGGGCACATGCCAATTTGCCTCTCCAACATGCAGGGGAATTCCCGAAAGCAAAATAAAATGAGCTTGATTAAAGGCTTTTGAAAGAAAATGAACGTAGTTTGGGATGAGTTTGGGATACGACATGTCAAGCGACTGCCAGGACGGCGGAAGGTGAACTCAATGGAACTTGGTCTTCTTTCACCAGCAAATTGTTAGGTTCTAGTTACAGTGGCAACTATCCCCCTTGGGAAGGGGTGGATGGGGGAGAGGTAAGTAGTATCCCTTGGAGCTGAACTAGCTCTAAGGTGACCTGCCTGGCAATGGAATGGGGAAATCGAGTCAGCCCTCTGTGACGGCCTCTAGTCCGGTTCCTGAACCAGGGTCCACAGTATTCCAAGGTATTCACTGCTGATGAAAGCCCAGCCCAATGGCAGGACCTGGAAGGGCAGACCAGTCACTGGGGGCAGGGAGTCATCCCACTCAGCTCCTGTTAATCCCAAGAGCCAAAGCCCTAATGGATAGGGTGGTCCTAGCTGGACAAGTAGTGGGAAAACTTGCCAGAACAGCAATATCAATGGTTTTAGCAATGTGGTTTTAGCTGGTTAGACTCCAGCAGTCACCCCAACGCACTCTCTGGAGTCCTCAAGCTTTGGCTTTTGCCAACTTAGGCCGAATACTTTCCAGAATTAGGGAAACAGGATGGGTTCCTCCAGGGACAAGAGAGAGCATTCCACTTCAACAATCTGGGATTTCCGTGCGTAGGTGGGATGCATGGAAATCTCAGCTTGGTTTGGATTCTCTTAAAAAATTAAGCGACGCAGAAACAGTATTACGAACATTTAAGATTTCAGCAAATCTCATTTCCCCACTTTCTTATGCAATCCATTGAGCATAGCGCTTCAAGACATTATCCTGCAATCAAGGTCGAGCTGTAATAATAATCCTTGCATTTGATAGTGTCTTATCAATTCTTCAAGATGTCTCAAAGCGCTTCACAGAATATACTGTAAAGTGAATTAACTGTATATTTCGTGGGCGACACACGGCAGCCAATTGCGCACAGCAGCGTCCTACAAACATCCGTGGATTGAGTGACCGAATTAATATTATTATTATCTATCAAATAAAGCTTGTTGCTGCGTGCACTGCAGGAATTCATTCTGCACCGACTTTCAGACTGGTGCCGACTAATTATAAACCTATTCAATACATCTCCTTCACTTGATGTGCGTCTGGTATACATTTCAAAAATATGCTATTTCAGTGAGTGTAGTTTGCAGGCGGCCAATTTGGGGACAGGGATGGCTGACAAGCAGAGCAGCCGTGAAGCGAGTGACCAGTTTTATCACGGTGGGAGTGTATTCGTGTGCGCGCACGCGTTTGTTTGTGGGGGGGGGGGGAGAGGGGAAGAATTGTCACCAGGTCACCGACCGACTGGGAAAAACTCCCTCCTCTTTTTGAACAATGCCGCGAGGCTCTTTTACATCCAACCGAACCACAACAAGTTACGCTTGTATAGCGCTCTTGTTCGGGGGTGGGGTGTGTGGGGGGGGGGATTCTCGGTTTAACATCTCATCTGAAGGATGGTTCCTCCGATGCCGCACTACACCCACCCACCCCTCAGCACTGCACCGGGAGCAACCTGCATTTCACACAGTGAGTTGTACGGATCTGCAATGAGGAGGGGGGAGGAAGAGGGAAAGGGGGGGGGGCAGGAGTAAGGGTTGGAGGAGGTTATAGGGGAGGAGGAAGGGTTGGAGGGGGATATAGAGGCTGGAGGGGAGGAGGAAGGGTTGGAGGGGGTTTATAGGGGGTTATAGGGGTTGGAGGGGAGGAGGAAGGGTTGGAGGGGTTTATAGGGGAGGAGGAAGGGTTGGAGGGGGTTTATAGGGGGTTATAGGGGTTGGAGGGGAGGAGGAAGGGTTGGAGGGGTTTATTGGGGTTGGAGGGGAGGAGGGAGGGTTGGAGGGGGTTATAGGAGGGGAGGAGGAAGGGTTGGAGGGGGTTATAGGGGTTGGAGGGGAGGAGGAAGGGTTGGAGGGGGTTATAGGAGGGGAGGAGGAGGGGGAGCGGCTGACAGCTGTTTACACCCCCCCCTCCCGCCTCCGTGCCCCCGGTACGTGCGGGAGGTCGGCGCCGCCAGGAATGGGCCCCTCCCCGCCCCGGGGCGGGCCCCGCGCCCAAACAAACTCTGACCCCCTCTCTCTCTCTCTCACTCTATTACCCTCCCCGCCTCCCCCCCACAACAACTCCGGTGACTGACCCGGTGTTCGGGGGGGGGGTAGTGAGATAAGCAGAGGCGGCCCACACCCCTCACCCTCCCTCCCTCAATCCCCCCCCCCCGCTTCACCTCAGCCCCGTACCTCTCCGGTTTTTTTTACCGAGCGACGCCGCTGACTAACAAACAGGCGGTTTGGCGCTCTCGCGCTCCCGCTCTCTCCCTCAGTCTCTCGCGCCACTCCGTCTCCTCTCTGCGCACGCGCACCAGCGGCCCCGCCTCCAACCCCTCGGCAGATGGATGACCTCCAACCCCTCCCCCCACCCACCAGTTCCGCGCGCGCGCTCTCTCTCTCTCTCTGCGCACGCGTACCAGCGGCCCCGCCTACAGTCACTCGGCAGATAGATGACCTGGTTCCCGCCCACACACACGTGCTCTCTCTCTCTCTCTGCGCACGCGCGACAGCACCCGGCGGCGGTTGGTCTCGGCGCGCGCGCTGCTCCACCCCCGCCCCCGCTTCTCTGCGCACGCGCAGTCGCACCTGGCGACGGTTTTTTTTTGAGGGGGGGGGGGAAGGGTTTTGGCGCGCGATGCCTCACCCGGAGCGTCCGGTCGGCAGTTTGAACGGTCGCCTGAGGGAACGACGACGACGACGCCGCCCGCGACGCCTCCAGGAGCGGAGCCGAGCCGGTGCCTTCTTCTCCGTCTTCGCCTTCGTGCCGTGAACAGGCGGTGTGTCGTCTCCCCCTCCCCCCGCGGAGCTCAGGGGTCCGAGCCCTCGCCTCGCATGCGAGAGAGGACCTGGGTTCGATTCCACAGCAAAAAAAAACGCACAGTCACTACACTCTGCCGCACCCCCCCCCTTTGAGACGTCTCGAAGACGCGATGAGGCGCCTCGTTCGGGTCGAACGCCAAGGAATTGTTCCTATCGGGAGTGTTATTGGATCGAACAAGGATGACTAAGGATTATTATTAATACCACTGCAGGAGGAGGCCATTCAGCCCCTCGAGCCTGTTCCGCCATTCAGTTAGCTCGTGGCTGATCCTGTACCTCAACTAGTTGCCTCAATTCCACTGTCCCGCTTGCTCCCCACGCCCCTCGATACCCGGACCCACCGGACAAGCCGCCAAACCCTCGCCCTGGAAGGTGCGGATGGACCCAGCGCGATCATCCGGTCACTTCAGTCCGTCACCGTTCGTGGGGTACGCTGCGCCGCGCCATTGGCCGCCCCGTCTTCGCCCGCAGAATCCAGCCACAGTCACTGCACTTTGCGGTGCATCCCTGTGAAGCGCTTTGAGGCGTCCGGAAGACGTCCTCCCGACGTGAAAGGCGCTCTATAAATGGAATCTTGTTGTTGTTGTAATAAGACCCTGTATTTATTATTATTATTATCACTTAAGAAAGTCGGGGGGTGGGTGGGGGGTGGCCCTTCGGTCTGTTCCCAAGCGCTAACCGTGATAAGGCGCTACGTCAGATGCAAGGATTATGATTATTATTATTATTGTACAATCTGCCCCCGGGGAGACACTCCTCAGCATTGGATAGACACAGCGTCAGTATAACAACACATTACGTTTACGCAGCACCTTTCACGTAAGCAGGACATCCCGAGGCGCTGGGCAGTCAGCGGTCCGCGTCCGAGCTGGCGGTTGGGATCAGGAGGCCAGGATGAACGGTAGGGGTAGGAGGGTGACCGAATGGCACAGTCGAAGAGGAGGGTCTTCAGACGGTTCTTGAAGTAGACG